ATCTTGTAACTAAACTTAGTACAAATGGCTATATCTTATCTTAATATATCATGTCTAAACGTGTTATAAATACCTACTTATAACTAGAAGTATCATATGTTATTCTACAATATTTCTAAGTGTCTTGTAAAGGGTCTATATTTAGATGAACGTTTTAAAATTCATAAATAATGTAATAAGTAAATCAGTTAGTTATAGGATGGAAGTCAACAAGTTTTATAAAATCAATGTATAATTAAAATGACGAACCACAACTTCTATTTTATTTTTCAATATAGTCTCCCCTGACATCAGTACACTTATTCCATTTGTCCTTCAAACTCACTATGCCATTATTATAGAAATCTCCCACCTCCTCCTCAAACCACACCTCAGTAGCCTCTTTCAGCTCATCATCCTGAAGGTGCTGATGGAGGTGAGAATTCAGGTTGCAGATCAGGATAAGAGTAACCTTGGGTCAGGGTTGGGCTGTAGGGAGGGTCGTGAAGAGACATTTCAGTAACATGGGATTTGTGGCCGAGTGGGTGTCATAAACCAAGAGCACAACTCTAGTCAGTATTCCTCGTCATTTCTCCCGGATGACACCATACAGTTCCGCATTGGCTTACATAATAATTACTAGTCCGGCAGTGGGAGGGGCCAACCTCAAAGTGTCTGATATAATTTTGTTCTCGTTTGATTATTCTTCTATAGGGTCTCAGTGAACAGTTCCAGGTGGGTGTGGAGGTCTCACCCTTGGGCACTAATAGACTATGTGTATAAATGTATATTTTGATACAAATGAAGATCCATACAGCCTCATGTCCCAGACCTAGTGTTGAAATTAGCGTGAATTAAAACAGCAATGTAGTATAAAACATGATGCCACTCTTCTTTGCTGATGGACATATCAATTATGCAAGTAATGGCCTATACGTTTGAGCTGTTCTGTATTATCACTCATTGTCTTTATCCACACTTCCTCCTTCTTCTCAACTAATTAACTCCTTCACAAAATACACTCAGAAAATAAAACCATTTTTTTTAGTTTCAAAATATTTGTCGAGTTATCACCACAAATTATCATCAACATTACCAATAGCATCATCATCATTACCGCCGTTATCATGATCGTCATCACCACCAACATCATCACCAACATCATCATCATCATCATCATCATCATCATCAGCAGCAGCAGCAGTAGTAGCACCATCATCACTACCAGGCTTTATCAATCCACTAGTGAACTAAGGCTTCCCCTTCATTTCAGTCATGTCAACAACCTCCACTTCACACAAAACGCTTCCAACGCTCCTCCTTCCACCCAACCATCGAGTCATCAGTCCTTTAAAATGTTATGGACTAAAGTCCCTTGAAACTTTTGACATTACCTGATATCAACGTGAGGGTCCTGTAGGGAAGACATTATAACATCTGTTTACTCAGATTTTTATTTGTATTATACTGTCTTTTGTTGTTGTTGTAAATCTGACATACAGTATAACTTATAATGAATATCAACATTTACCCTATATTGTTAAGTGTCGGGGTGGGAGGATTTCAGCAGCAGCTTGAAATACAAAAATACTATTATTATTATTATTATTATTATCAGTAGTAGTAGTAGTAGTAGTGAAAAATCCTTATTTTACCCCAGCAGAAAGATCACTCCTTGCACTACCGCCGAGACTGGGAGGAATGGAATTGACTAATCCGGTGGAGCTTCCTGTTACAAAACATCAGAACTCTGTTAAGCTCACGGCAGTCCTCACTCAGCACATAATAGCTCAGAATGCAGCAAGTCAGGTGGATACCAACGAATTAAATAAGATTCGACGGTCCATTACGACAGAACGGCAGCACACCCAAAATGATAAACTGCAACAACTGATGTAACAAGAGCCAGAGAACTTGAAAAGAAAGTAGCTATAGCACAGGAGGTCGGCGCCTAGAACTGGCTAACAACGTTACCGATAAGGGCAAAAGGTTTCACCCTTAATAAACAAGAATTCACAGATGTCATTGCTCTAAGGTACGGTCGGCCAGTAGGCGGTTTTTGCCCTTCTAATGCGTGTGTGGCTCATCTTATGACATTGACCACGCCATGGTGTGTAAGGAAGGGGGCTTCGTATGCATGAGGCATGACGAAGTAAGGGATCTCACAGCAAATCTACTGAAGGAAATCTGCCACGACGTCACGGTGGAACCGACCCTCCTTTCATTGGACGGTGAGAATCTCCATCATAGGACTTCCAACATATCTAACGAAGCCCGTGTGGACGTCAGCGCTCGAGGATTCTGGACGCGGGGACAGCGAGCCTTCTTTGATGTTAGGATATTCGACCCCATGGCCGCATGTCACCGTAACTTGTCTCTTGAGGCTGCACACAAGAGGAACGAGAACGACAAGATTAGGGCGTATGCCCAGAGAATTCAGAACGTGGATCAGGGCAGTTTCACTCCGGTGTTCACAATCTCTGTAGGGATGGGACCAAGTGCAAGACGCTTCTACGCAAACTGGTGGAGGTGTTGTGTGAGCAGAAGCAGCAGCCCAGAAGCTACGTTGCAGCCTGGTTGGGATGTCGACTGTCCTTCACTCTCTTTAGGTCTGCATTGCTTTGCCTCAAGGGAACGAGATCGTCGGCCCCAAAGCCAACAACGGTCTCAGATATTGGCTACGAAGCAACAGTCACTGAATGCCGAATGCCGCATAGATCTGCGGCTTAACTAACTCAACACAATTAGCATAGCTACTTTTTGTATGAGGATATTTAATTTTAAGGCAATAAAATGGAGGCGTAGGTGTGGCTATTGGGGAAGCTGGAGGCCATGTTTATAAAAAAAAAAGTAGTAGTAGTAGTAGTATATAACAGCTAATTCCAATCCCGTCATCTCAATCAACACTACACCACAAGGAGGAGGCCGGGGTGAACGATGTTGACATTCGCAATAACGCTCGAGATTCTAGCGGTAAATAGATACAATATTTACTGGGTAATTATTTCTCAAATATATAGCTTACTAGATATCTTCCTGTGAGACTAATAACTTTAGAACAAACAGCATTATCTATATAATACTTGATAAAATCACACAGGAAAAAGGGAAACAATGGAAACCTTAGCTTTCGTCTTTATTCAAGCATGGATCTACATGCACTATAATAGCGTTTTGGGAAGAAAGAGTGAAGGTTTTAGGTAACTAAGATTAGCGATAATGTGTAGTAATTGTTCCCATAATTCAGGTAAATGACAGCACGAGATATTAACATTTTTATGTCATGCATCAGGTGCGCCAGCCTTTCCTAAGACCGTCAATAGTCACTCACTCACTCACTCACTTATTTACTGTCTGAGACATACCTGTATTTTGTTTAGTCCGCGGCTGCTGCTTCGTCCTGACACAGATTATGGTCAGTTCTTACTCTCCCTCGTTAATTTGTCGAGTGTGTTGTGGTGACATGTAATGAGAATATAGAAAAGTAACAGACTCAAAGTAATGACGTGTGACAAAGACGAAGTGATCGTCTCGGCATCTAGTGTTACAAGGGAAGATGTCTGAAGGTGTAAACACTAGCTCAAGCTTGTTTATTTTTTACCTTGTGAGAATATATCAGAAATGTAATTATTGTAACGCAGAAACATGGAAACAGTTCACGAAACAAAAATCCCACTCAGGAGAGACATTTTCTGCACCTAAGGCTGTCTCTTAGGAGGTGACTGAGGCCCTTCAAGGTGAGGCAGCTCATCCCTTCAAGCGCACGAGACGGCACCTCCAGATGGCATAATGACTGATATCACACAAGACGGGGAGGAAGAAGGATTTTACACAAGTATCTACGACTGAATCAAACATGGAAACATGGCAAACATTATATCAATACTATATTCATATTATTGTTCAAAAATACAATGAAGACTTAAGAAAATATAGACCAGTTACTTATCTACGATTTATGTAAACTTGAATAAAGTCTAAACAAAACTAGATTAAATTTTTCGAGAGAACACAGAATGTAGAGGTTATTACAGTAATTAAAAAAAAGGCAAATTCTCCCACAAATATGCCAGAGATGCAGTAAAAATGGAATCGACTTCAGGCTTACGTGACACCAATCATGAACAGGTATTTGATTTAGTTAAGTATATGGGAGACTAATTTAATATACCATAATATAATCTTAACAAAATATGTCAGTGTACTTTTAGATAATATTTTCAACATCATTATCTCAAACATTTCTTCTTCTTCTTCTTCTTCTTCTTCTTCTTCTTCTTCTTCTGAGTTAAACCCTACAGTACCAACCCACCACCCGCTATTGAACACCCAAACCATTCTTATTATCTACACCATACTTAATATCCACATCGAAGTTACTACCCACAACAACTACTTCAGTTCTACACCCACTATTTAAAATCCACACATCAACTACTTAACAACTACCATAACTTATCAAAGCAACGTATAACCACGGGTCCAGTACCATCCTCCCACACCCACACATAACCATGGGGCCAGTGCCATCTCCCACATCCACACAACCACATATATCCGAATTTGTAAACGTCGAAAATCTGACATCCGTTACCTCACTGTACAGGTGATGTCAACCCTCTGAAACTTTGTACCGACATCACATTCAGTACCTCCCGAGAAGAATGATTTCGTTTACGAATTTCCCAAAGAATTATAAATTATTAAACTACTATTCTTTCTTAGAGTGAAATTCCTATCAAATTTAAAAACAAACATTTTTACTGAGTATTTTACCTTAGCAAAACCGTAAAATACACTTATGCCAGTAACTCCCCGAAGCGCCTGGAGAGACAACATGGGGTGAGCAACGACTGACGCATCTATGACAAAACTTTCAGAAGACATCGACCAATGACATCTCCGTCTTCTAAAAGGCTTTACAGCGACGTCCAATCAATGAGCACGGCAACCGTGTGTGTGTTTGACAAAGTCACTTAAATATAAGTGTTGGTTGCGTGTGTGAGACAGTAAGGAGCGGGTCGTGGTGGTGACACAACACACAACTCACTCAACAACTCCACAAGTGTAAGTGCTCCTCCTCGCCGTAGAGGTTGTGTATTTAGCGACGAGTGTTTTTCAGTGGTGTTTACAGTGGTTGTGAGTGTTGGTTTAGTGTTAGTGTTGAGTGAGAGTAAAAGTGGTTGTTGGAGGTGGTGTGTATCCCGTGGGTCAGCCCTTAGTGGGACACCTGTCCTGATTGCTGCACACCTGACTGATTGCTTGCACCGTAGCACCGTGGTTAATTCAGTATGTTTAATGAGCTAGATTCTCAATGTTCCTGCTGATAATTGAATTACAAGGTAAGACTCAGGAGGCATTAACCCATTCAATACAATGATTATTATCTCATATGAACTAACGAAGATTGGATCCCTGGCCTGTCCTAACACTATATTTATGTTGTTTGAGTCTAGTTTCAAGATTCTTGCCCGTTTGCCCTAATAGAACATATTACATTCTTTGCATGAAACCTTGTAAATGCAGCCACCTGCATTGCTTGGAGAATTCTTAATTAGCATTTGCTTTACAGTGCTAGAATTAGTAAACGTTACATTTACGTTCCAGGTTTTCAGTTGCAGAGGAATTTGAGAGGAGGTGTAGGATCAGTTCTACAAAAGGATTCCTTAGCTATATTAAAACATTTATCAATAAAAGATTTAGGGTACTTTAAGTTCAATCCAATATTAAAGGTATAATCAAATTGTTTATCAATAAATTCCGGACTGCATATTCGCAGAGCACGTAAGCCATTGATTGGTATATATACAGTATATACCCATGGGGATACACGGGTTAGGATAAATTTGGCTTGAGGATTCACGAACTAATAATGGTTCCACACCCCAGACCTACACTCCTGTTGCATATCCTGCAACTAACTCAGAGTGATAATTCTCATGCCTCTATAATATGCACAAACAGCGCTTGAAGACCTGTACTTTATATCACCGAACCTTAATTTGTCTTTGATATTCTCGTTTGTATATTCTTCATTAGAAAAAAAAATCCCGAGTCAAGTTTGTAAAGTGTATACATTAGCAGAATTACTGATTATCCATCAGACTGTTCTGGCTGAAGGAGTCTCAAAGGTTCACGCGTTGAATATTCCTCTTAATTGATAATTAAAGACTGCACCTAATTGGTTGATGTAAACTAAAGTCCAAATTAAACATCCAAAATAACTTTAATACAACACTGAGCATTTACATTAACTAGATACACTCACTGAGCATCGGTTTGGCGACAAAATTAAGATTGGGAATCTTTTCGTCTTTATTTTTTCTCTCAACTGGAACTAAGTTAAGTCAGGTGTTATCTTTCGACGTTATTTCCTGATCTTTCGTTTAAACCAAAAACGTTTGGAGTGTAGGACGGTGGTCGCCAACCCCCAGACATACAAGTGGCACTTTGATTTCGATTGAATCAGGTCACGCATTTCATTGGCTGATCTTGTAACCATAAAGGTGAGTCCTATCAGAGCAAATGACCTACATTACATAGATCCCGATGCGTCATGTATTGGAGGTAAGATTACTCTACGTCGCTGAAGGTGAATTGTGTAACGCGAGAGATAACTTATGTAATAGGCCAAGAGGAGCCACATAACGTCTGTGATTAAGGTGATTTATCGTTCGTACTGTAGCTGCACAAATATCATACAATGAGGGCAAAGATCACTTATATAAAGTAACAAAATAATATCCATTAGTGAGAAGGAAACTAAGAATTAAGTTAGGAAAGAACAAACCAGTTAAAACGTGTAAATAACTAATGAATAAACATAATAGCCTGAAAATGGATTTACCTCACCATTAACTGTATAAAAATAAAAAACAAAGCTACAGTAATGTTATTGTAGCTCGTTGGACATACATACAGTATATATCCCCAGGACACAAATTTAGAAGTAACAAAGAAATTCAGCAAAAAGAAAAAATAATCCAAATACTAACCTCGACTTCTCCACACTCTCGGTACCACTGGTGAACACTACTACTACTACTAATAATAATAATAACAATAATAATAATTATAATAATACATCCACTACTATTACCATTACTACTCTTACCTCTGCTACTACTACTACTACTACCTCTACTACTTTTTACGTTACATCCAGCCTACGCCAATAGCCACAGCTACTACTACTACTCCTACTACTACTTTTTTTAATGGCCTCCAGCCTCCCCCAATAGCCATACGTTCACCACCATTTTATTACCTTAATATTAAATATCCTAATACATAAGTAGCTATCCTAGCTGTGTTGAGTTAGTTGAGCCGCAGATCTATGTGACATTCAGTGACTGTTGCCTAAAAGTCAATATCTGCAACTGTTGTCGGTTTTGGGGCCGATGCTCTCATTCCCCTGAGGCAGAGCAAAGCCGACCTAAGGAGAGAGAAGGACAGTCGACATCTCATCCAGGCTGTAACATAACTTCTGGGCTGCTGCTTCTGTTCGGATATCACCTCCGCGAGTCTGGCATAGAAGCATCTTGCACTTGGTCCCATCCCACCAGAGGAGTGAAGCTGCCTTGATCAACGTTTTGAATTGTCTCCCCGTATGCCCTTATCTTGTCGTTCTCGTTCCTCCTGTGTGCAGAATCGAGAGCTAAGTTACGGTGACATGCGGCCATGGGATAAAAAATCCTGATGTCGAAGAAGGCTCGCTGTCCCCGCGTCCAGAATCCTGGTGCACTGACGTCAACACGGGCTTCGTTGGATGTGTTTGAAGTCCTACTACAACTTCTATCTGTTTTACTTTTATACAAACGAACACTGAAAAGGTCTCCCCAGTCCCCCCCCCCCATACCCGCACACTTTTCCAAACATCTATTACATTTTCCACTTCCCTTCACAAATATATCTCATCCGTTCTCTCCTAATCTCTAGTTTCATCAGATCACGTGAAGATTAGGCATCCCAGCTTATACTTCACCCTACAATAAAAAACGCTAATGGGGTTAGGTTAGGTTAGGTTAGGTTAGGTTACGGTAGGGTGTTTAATCATCAAGTGATTAATATTCACACTGTGCGTTATTTGTACCTAAAGTTTGCTCATGTCTTCTGAAATGCTCTCTCTATCTCTTCAAAACTGAGTTACTATCTGCCAAAGCTAGACTTTTCATGAGTTTCTGTCTTCATCGACGACACCCCAACTATACAATCGAATTTACCACATCGGTGTATCGTTTATCATTTGCAGATAATGTACAGAGATATCTATGGCAACAACAGAAAACGGAAGATGTTATTGGTGATGATGATGACCCTCGATGCTTCTGTTGTCCTCTGCCTGCCCCAGACATCAGGTATGACCCTCTCAAGCTAGGTCATCACTCTCTTGATAAGTCAAAATATCCATGTCAGGTCACCATTGGAAACAATTTTTACTCCAAGGTAATTAAGTCCAGTAGCTTATCCACTGGACCACAATGTGTACCTTAACTACTAAATTGTAGTTCACTGTACCCCACTGCAGGCCTTAGAGGGTTGGGGTCCCAGTCCAACGAAGATAGCAAATTCAGTACACATAACGATAGATTATAGATCCATTTAAAAAGATTTCTCTAACAATTTCCATTATTCTTCTCTACACGATTGGATCAGGTGTGGGAGAGTTGTTGTCAGTCGCTGGTGGTGGTGTGGGCGCCGTGCTGGAGGCGGTGTCTCAGCCCACCTGCTCCCTCATCCTCCTCACAGATGGCACCACCTCACCCTCCACCATCCTCAAGGTGATGTTTGTTATTATGTAGCCTCCACCTGCTGTATGTTCTTATATAGTCTCCACCTGCTGTGTGATCTTATGTCGCCTCCACCTGCTGTATGTTCTTGCAAAGGGAACTGCAGTCAGACGATGCTATGACTTGGCAGCCTTGGTTGAGTTGGCTCAGTGGAAGAATTAATGCACGTCGCAGATATAAATATAAAAAACTGTTCAAGGTCTCCAATTACGATTATGAGATCTGACATAAGAATTTTTTTTATTTCATGTCTCAGGAGGAGAGTGTCGTACGAGGGAGCCCCTGGGGTGTGGGGGTGTTCGAGGTGGTGGTGGACGGCCAGGACGCTAACGAGACCCTGGTGCTGCTCTCCCACCTGCTCCACCAGGCTCGACAGGTAGGTCACTCTCCCACCTGCTCCACCAGGCTCGAGATGTAGGTCACTCTCCCACCTGCTCCACCAGGCTCGAGAGGTAGGTCACTCTCCCACCTGCTTCACCAGGCTCCACAAGTTCCATCTTTCCTGTATTTGTTGATACGGTTACCAACTGGTTCTCCCCTCAACACGATCTGACCTCCAACTTGATCTTTAACTGGCGCTCGTTCTGCCAGGAATCGGGTAGATCAGTCTGTGGAATGAGCCAGATTTATTTAGCTGATTCCTGACAGCATGAAAGTCTCTGGCCACTAAGGTTCAAACTGACGAGCAGGTAATGTTGCGCCTCTAATTACTATCATATCAGTTATTTACTGCAAGTAAGTATTCATGATCAAAAAGTTTGAAATACTTAAATACATGCATCCACAATTCACTCACTCTCATCTAACCACAAGCACTATAAAAACATGTTCATCCCATATATATTTCAGATTTCTATTATTTCAGTTTAAATGTATAAGATTCACACATACAGACTCGTAATCTAGCATGTTACCTGTCCTCTGGGGGATGTATTACGGTACCATTGATTTCCTTTTACAGGTCAGAGGGCAGGCCAGTTGCTTACATCGAGGTCTATAGTTGATGCCATTGACTGCCTCCTGGAGGTCAGGAAGGTTACCACTGACAGGATGCGCTCCCTAATTTGAAGACTTATATATGTCAGTAATAGCTCTGTTCACTGGAAGACCAGACTATGTTTCACACCTCACAGTCTTAGCTGTTTTCGACACTCTTTATTTGTGTGACTGTCAGTTCCGGTTGAATCATGACACGGTCTTATCACAGATGAAGATGGTGGGCAATGACCTGTTTTTATCACAGGTGAGGATGGAGTCTCGGTGTGTGCGGGTGGTGGTGACGAGTCACGACCTGGTCTTCCTCGCCACCTTCGCCGAGTGGTCCCTCAAGGGCCGCCTCCTGGTGTGGGCCACCAAGCTGCTGGTGGTCACCAGCCTCCCACTCCCACAGCTCCACGCCCTCCTGTCCTCCCACTGGACATTCTCCATGATGAACACCATCTTGCTCAACCTGGAGGACACACAACCCAACCTCAGGTAATATACACAATGAACACCATCTTGTTCAACCTGGAGGACACACCACCCAACCTCAGGTAATATACACAATGAACACCGTCTTGTTCAACCTGGAGGACACACCACCCAACCTCAGGTAATATACACAATGAACACCATCTTGTTCAACCTGGAGGACACGACACCCAACCTCAGGTAATATACACAATGAACACCGTCTTGTTCAACCTGGAGGACACACCACCCAACCTCAGGTAATATACACAATGAACACCATCTTGTTCAACCTGGAGGACACACCACCCAACCTCAGGTAATATACACAATGAACACCATCTTGTTCAACCTGGAGGACACACCACCCAACCTCAGGTAATATACACAATGAACACCATCTTGTTCAACCTGGAGGACACACCACCCACCTTATTGTTGATTTTCATTTATGGCCATCAGCCTTGTTTAAGTGTCAGTGGGTCTTATAGACACTGTGGATGCAGTACACTAAATACTAAGTTTTCATTACTCACTTAGACAGTCGGCATTTTTTTTTAACATTCGGGTTACTTATTATTATCCCGAAAGTGCCCTTCGAGCCATAATTCATTTTTTTTAAACCAAATATATACGTGATTTGGTTCGGGTTACTATTTAGTAATCTGAATTGTTATTGGAGCATTTCAGGATAAGTCTCTGTGCGTGGGTAGACACCTGAAGACTTATCCTGAAAGTTCCAACTTGTTATTTATGAATAGATAAAGTCTCTGAAATACAATATATGTAAATTAAAATGAGAAACTAAAGAAATCCAATATTTAAATATCTTAACCAATTCCGATGGAAATGTACATACTTTTAAGTCACCGTTGTGTACCACCGTGATGTTTACCTTCAACTCCTAAGATTTTTCGTCTCCCCATCGCGCTTCTCACAAATGATCATCCATTGCATTCCGGCAAACATCCTCTCGTAGCCTCAAGTACAATAATGAACACACTTTTTGGTGATAAATAGATGTAAATTCATTTCCAGTTCGCCAAAATATTATATAGGAACGATCCAAGATGACACAAAATGAGTTTGGTAGATTGTTCAGGTAATAGTATACAAGTGTCACCTGTGAGACTGACGCTAATAATTACCTTAGAAATTTTTTCCATGCAATATTTCACTGTTTGGGTTGTTGTTCTGGTGGTGCTTACAGTACGTACTAGCAGTGTTTGTTAGGTTTTGTTAGGTTAGGTTAGGTTAGGTTAGGTTATGTTAGGTTAGGTTAGGTTACATAAAATATATTTTAGAGGAAATGTTCAAACCTAACCTATAATCAGGGTTGGAAAAATGTGTAATAATTGAATAATGATAAGCTACTACCTGTACTGTATATTAAATCATGCCACAAATATCATTAATTTATAAAACCACACAAAATTTAAATACAAATGAGAAACCATGAAAAATTACCAATATACTGTATATGAAGGCCCAGTCCAAGAATCACAATTTTGATAGGAAGAATTAGTAGTTCTAAGCCCGGCCTTACTAGGATAAAACTAAATTGATAGCAGATCATATAGTAAAACACTGAACAATAAATAAATTATTAAACTGTACAGTATTGGAAAATTTGTCTTAATTCAAAATAATTTTGATTATTTTGCAAACTAAAATAACATACTGTAATATAATTAACTGGCAATATTCCTGATAATTTCATAAAGCAAGGGGCAGGCATATTAATTCAACAGTATTGTTCTGTACTGCCAATTTTATGTTAATTCTTAATATTGTACATACAGGTATCTGACGTTACACCAGCGTTCACTCTGCCAATATTCACAAATAAATATACAGGTATTCTATTCCTATGCCACTTTCTCACTATACAAAATCATGGTACCTAAAGGTAATGAACTAACTTTATACTTCATTCATTTCTTAATGTGATTTGTGATAAGTGCTAAATTACAGTAGTTATGTCCTAATTTACAGTAGTTAGGAAGGTTTTTTGTGTTTGTTAACTGATTTCATTTGTTTTAGGAATACAGTGGGAGTTTTCCTGTAGTTAGGTACTAAACTACAATAGTTAGGCACTAAATTGCATTAGTTGCTAACTGCACACCTTATATCCATGGGTGAAAATAAATAAAATAATTCTAAATGGATGTCACTTAGACTATTTCTGGTTCATTTCAAGGCAAGCAAAGGACAGTAATTATCATAAGTAGGAGTATACAATAAATGAACAGTATCACAGTACATATGAAATTATTCCACAAAATAGACTGTTGTCGAAACTGTATTTCTATAAAGTTAAATGCAATTCTGAAGTATAAATGGTGTAAATAGTATAAAAAATTACTAAATCAGTCAATAATTTCCTTCTTTTGTATTTGGGAATTTTATAACAAATTGTAAAATACATACATATACTGATTATTAATGACATGTTTACCTCCACCATGGACAGGGTCAGCGTGTACACCCACCTGCCATACACCCCAGAGGGAGCTCAGGTGGTGAGAGCTGCTTCCTGGACACCAAACCGAGGCTTCGCACTAACGGCAGGTCGTTTACTCTTCCCACCAAAGTTCTCAAAGTAATTTTTTTAAATAATATCTATTATCTGCACATATATATATATATATATATATATATATATATATATATATATATATATATATATATATATATATATATATATATATATATATATATATATATATATATATTTATATATATATATATATTTATATATATATATTTTTTTTTTTTTTTTTTTATTTATTTATTTTTTTTTTTTATACACACGCATGCCACCACCATAAAGCATTCCTTGTCTCAACCATACTACTTAATCACAACGAAATAGAATTGTAAGTTATAATTCTCTTCCTATTATTTAAAAATTATGGCAGTATGACATTAGTAGCATTGACAATTATTTTTTTTGTGTACAAGTAAATTATTTTACTAATGTCGAAAATTCACTAAACTCCGAAGACAAAAACTTGGTAATGATAATTTTTATCTTACGTAATCACAACTTTTTTATACGAAAAATGTGTATTGCAATTTCAAGAAAATATTTAATGTTCTTGCGTTTGAACATTGTCAAAGCATTCTAGGACTATTGGACCAACCTGATGTCTTATGTTCCTGTCTTATCATTTACAGCACAAGAGACACATAGATAAGAAAGTTTCAGTCTCACGAGCATTTAACTCTCAGCGTGTTGTCTCTCTGAGTCTGTTTCTTTTGCCACCTCCTAATCAAAATTATGTCCAAATGAATCCTACTTACTCCTTTAAGTTTATTTTATCACGAACGGATTGCTGACTCCATCCCAAACATCAGACAGATGGTAAAGAGCCCAAGAACCGCTGTTGAATATTATGTATACTGATGCAGCCAGGACTTATGACTAACATTTTCCTTAACTAATAACTTATGATTTATTCGCTACAGTAAAATTAATATGTTGTTATAGTAGTGATATATATTCCCTAGTTCTATACATATAAATGATTACCTTGTTACCTTCAGCTTCCACGGTGCCACGGTGAACATAACCGCTCTGCCATTCCCGCCTTACTGGGATGTTCTGAAGGGACCTGACAACACAACACGATACTCTGGCACTGACTACTACATGCTGGAGGCAATTGCGGCGGCTCTCAATTTTACCATTCACGTCGTACCAACTAATTCCTGGGTAGAAGTGAGTTAGTTAAGGGTCACTATTCCAGCACACCATCATACTATATCTAAACCCCTAAATATACCACGCTTCAAAAGCACCACACCACACCACATCAATGTACACTCGACACCAAATACAATTAACACACAACACTCAAAACGAAATCATACATCGAACCTAAGATACACACCCACACTCACAGCACACCCCTAGTTACTTTTCATCCATAGATTATATAATGAGCATTAGAAGATGAGATGATCTCATTATCAATAACTCCTTTACAATGTCAGTAATACGGACTGTGATTGAAGGTTGCGAAGCGTGTAGAGGAGCGGGTGTCCTTCATGGCAACTGTGTTCCACAATATGCTGCCAGAACGTCTTGAACGCTACGACTACTCATGGGTGTACGAGTACGGGTCCCTTGACTTCAGTATGGCCCAGCCGGGTATCAAGCCACAGTGGCAGTCGCTCTACTACCCGCTCACTGACGTGGTGTGGGCGGCCGTCCTGCTGGCTCTGCTGCTCACCCCTGTGGTCCTGCTGCTGGTGAGTTACGTAATATTGATGTTATTACAGTACATATATCGGATTAATAATTGTATATAAACGATTACGTGACCACAGTGCGCATAAGCATCATGAAAAATTATTGTGTAAGTGTATCTACTGAGACATAACGTTTTTCAGATCATCCGTGTGGATGAAGGTGGGAATAATGATGTGAAGATTACAGTGGGAACAGTGGTACAGGATGTAGCAGGAATGTTAGTGGGACAGAATCTGCCTCAACGGCTGCCCAGGACCAGCTCCAGTCGTGTGCTGGTGGCCACGTGGCTGATGTTCGCTCTCATCTTCGGGTCTGCCTATCGCGGCAACCTCACCGCCTTCCTCACGCTGCCCAAGTACCCACCCCGTGCTGAGACACTACAGGAGCTCGTCAGTACTGCAGATAGGTAGTGTACACGTGGCTCTAGGACACTCTACATAAGGACAGTACAATGTACTGTACAGCATTCCTCTATGCATCAAGTAATATATATATATATATATATATATATATATATATATATATATATATATATATATATATATATATATATATATATATATATATACATATATATATATATATACTGTATATATATATATATATATATATATATATATATATATATATATATATATATATATATATATATATATAAACACAGCCTCTATACACAGGATAACGATGCCACCATACGGGGCCGAGTTCAAAAATTTCTTCAGCAAGTCAGATTCACAGTTGTTCAAGAGACTGGGCCAACTGATGCATATCGTTCCATCAGTAAATGTCGGACAACAACAGGCGGTTGACAAAAAGTAAGTTGTTCTCTTAAGCCGGCTGCTTACAGATTGTCTTTTGAAAATCCAAATACAAGAGGTGTTGTTGATGCATTAACGTCTTACAGTGTCTCTTATGTAATTCAAAACATATAATCTTCCTAAAATATTCTAGAATACATTTTAAACAAAGTACACACTTATCCTTTTTTTACTCTAGTTCAGCAGATAGTGTGTGTAAAGTCAGGTAAAAAGTAATGGCTTCCTTCTAAACAAGTCTTCTTACCCATTAAAGCCAAAAACAGTTACCCTGATAAAACCTCGAGGTTGCTGCTTTAGTTCTGATAATATTTCAGCCAGTCTAGCATAGAAGCACTTTTCACTAGGTCCCATTCTGCCAGATGTTATGAACACCAGAGGAGGGATTCTGCATTGGTCCTCATTCTGGATTCTCTGTGCTTACTCTCTGTTGTTTTCGTTCTCATTTCTCCTGTGTGGAGCCTCGAGAGTTAGGTCACGGCTACTACTACTACTACCACTTCTAACTACTACCACTACTACTACTACTATTACTTCTAAGCCTTATTGTGCCCCTTCCATAAAACAAAAAGGAAAAGAACAATAACTATTGTGCAACTAGAATCCTTAACTTCAAGTGGATAGTAGTAAATATCTTTGCAAAGCTTTGTGTTGTGTTCCAGTTTACACTGAGGTATTTTTGCTAACAATAGTTGTCTTTGCCTGCGGTTGTTGCATCACGCAGACAAGCACACCTGGACACACGACGCTATCAAAAGCTGAGTATAGCAAAGCGGTTCATTGGGACGGACGGAACCCCCAAGTTATACCTCGGCCGGGAGAGCATCATTCCTGGCCAGTCCGCCTGGCCCATCCCCCACGATGCTCCCTTTGGGCCCGTCCTGGACCGCTGCCTCATGGCCGTCATTGAGGTCAGTCACTCACACTTGAAAACCGCTGTAATTTATAGTTAGCAAAAATGTAAATATAATTTTCATATAGTCACAAGAAAATGGCGAGGTATAGCAAGTTGATAAGTTTTACTCTTAGTGATAAAGTTTATTGAACAGTCAGTAATATGTCTTGTTTTCCTCAAGTTATTTACATTTTCAACGTCAATTTGATTTGACTTCGAATTATTGAGTACAAATTCATACAGTATAAGCAAACAAATAAACATTTACCGAAGATAACACTTATGGAATTAGTAATAGATACTTATTTTTAATGTGGTCATTATGAAATAGTTCAAAATTACTGCAGCTATATATGACAAAACAACAATTGCCAGTCTCAGCTTCAACAAGTGATGGCTCTTACGTCTGATGTTGCCAACAGGCGGGACTGTACGAGCAATGGAGCAAAGACTTGTTGTTCCAAGCCCAGGTGAAAAGCCGCAAGGGGCAGCAACAGCAACATGTGGCAAAAAAGACAGACTCAGACAGCAGCATCAGGTCCCTCACCACCACACACCTGCAGGGAGCTTTCCTCCTCCTCCTCCTGGGCCTCGGCATTGCTGGAATCACCTTTGTCGTGGAGCTCCTTATACTGAGGCTTCTGCAGGCCAGCAGGGGAAATTGATCATCGTGATCTAGAATGTTTGAAACTGTTTTGCTTAATTAAGATAATAATAGGAAACAAGAAATGACTGAATTAAAGACGTTAGGGTTATGATTTTACATCTTGTAACATTTGCAGTAATAATTTAAACAACTTTCAACAATTTTCGGTAGATTCTTTATAGGTAAGTTACAATGTTCTCCAGGTCCTGGCTTATTTATTATTAGAGCCTCACCAATGTATATCACTGTAGATATGCAACACATCAAGACATTTGAAAATAGTTCAAGTCATATTTTCGAATTTTCTGATATAAACTATACCAACACACACAACCTGTCATTCCCTGTCCTTGTAACAATTACTAATTATTAACTGGTTTGTTATCAGTCTCAATATAATACCTCATAATTTGCTAAGTATGATGACTGACACTATTACGACACTATTTTAATTACGTAAATGTTGTTTCCAAACTGCCTGAGATATAAATATATTTAGAACCTCTAATTGAGTCCAGCTGTATAACACTATCTGTCGGGCCAAATATTTCAAGAAATACATCTCGGGATTAGTTAGATTTTGTAAAAGGAAACATTTTGGAAACGTAAAATGACGCTATATTACTGGAACAACTAGAACCTTGTGTAGATGTGGCCATGTCATTTACACATCTACGATTTAGAAAAAAATATACATAAGCCACAGTAAAAACAAAGTATGTAAATAAAGTTTGACCATTTGAAGAAAATTGCCTTCATATGTATCACCACTGAAGAGAAACAAAGTTATTACTGTTTATTGAACGTAATATTATCCTACTCGACAGCAACACCACCACTACAAATCCGTATATACTATATAATTTATTTCAGACATAAAATCGAAATGTCATGGACCAGTTTGAGACATCAAGTGTATTGATATAGAGTCAAATGTAAAATAAGTATCTTAGTCCAATCCTCGCCTGCAGTACATAATTCAACTCATATTTCTGTTATATACCTAACTACTGCTGACGTGATTATGTCCCAAATTATGTGGTTAAAAGATACTCTCAACTGCCCCTTGGTAGTTTTTCCTGTGTTTATGTGAATAATTGACCATCCTCTTGCCGAACTGGCTTTTTTCTTTCTCAGTTCTGCATGATAAGAGATTTCTGTATAGCAGAATAAGAGTTATGAATGAGTGAATTAAACAGTGATCATTACATGGTGGACAGATTGCTGCCTATCTCATCAGGTATTAACCCAACATCACCTCGACTGGGTTGCATAACCGTGTGGTCAGTCCCCAACACTTTAAAAGGTACACACTCGCCATCACCGTGTGGCCTCAAGTAGGCTAATTAGTGCGGGGATTAACTTTACAGTAGTTCAATGGCCCGTGGCCACCCACGGTAGTTTAGGCGTAGGATATGAGCGGGGTGGGGTGGTTGCTGGCTGGGTAGTGGAAGGAAGGCGTTACACTGCCCTGCCACTACCATCACCTGTCTGCTACCACCAATCACCCAGTGCCATTTCACATTCGCTACTTATCCCCCCCCCTCCCCACCTCTCTTTATCCGCCCAACTAAATTAAATGCAATTCATTACCATCCCCTCCCCACAACCGCCCCTTCCCACCACCTACCCCTACCACCGCCGCCCCTTCCCACCACCACCTACCACCGCCCCCACCACCGCCCAACCACTTCCGCCCCCTACCACCACCGCCCCCAACCACCACCATCCTCTACTAGCACCATCTGCCACCATCCCTACTACCACCACTTTACCGCTCCTCCTTTCATACAATAGAAACAAAATCATTAGGGAAAGATATGAACTGGTCTCCCAGCGTCGTCGATAAACTGTTATTCTTACCCAGTGTCCTCTAGCGATATTCACACCATAAGTGCACAAGACAGTAAATACAATCCTAATTCTTCGTAGCCGTCGCACTCACTCCGCTCAGCCAATTACAGTAATAAAAACTCCTAGAAGGTGTGTCTAGTTAGTAGCGAGTCGTGGTGGCAATATATGCACCAAGATTCCGTGGGTGTGATATTGAAGAAGCCACATGAATTATAGTGAGTGTGAGAGCGGGTCGTGGTGGTGACACAACACACAACCCACTCAACAACTCCACAAGTTTAAGTGCTGCTCCTCGCCTTAGAGGTTGTGTATTTAGCGACGAGTGTTTTTCAGTGGTGTTTACAGTGGTTGTGAGTGTTGGTTTAGTGTTAGTGTTGAGTGAGAGTAAATGTGGTTGTTGGAGGTGGTGTGTATCCCGTGGGTCAGCCCTTAGTGGGACACCTGTCCTGGGTGCTAAACACAGTAGTCAGGTGTGTAGCACCCAGGGCAGGTGTGACCACGTACTTTACACTGGCCTCCCCCTCTCTCTATTTTAATATGTCTTAGATAACGAAGATGATATCCGTTAAATAATATACAAATTGAAATTGATGATTCCTGTATTCCAGTGTCTTTAAAATCTTTATCTTAATGAACTTAAGTGAAAGGTGTCGTCAAGTGATACTTAATGACGGTGAGACGCAGCACAGCGCCCTGACTTAACATAACAGGAAGATAATGAAACGCTTAATGAACTTCTCAGCCTTATTACGTTTTAACAGAAAGATATTTTCAATATTGTATATGTAATTGTTTATAACTTACATACACCAATAACAATTATTCATAATGAAGACAAAAGTACCTTTGCGTGTATTATGTTTCAACACGACCAGTTTAGAAAAAGCAGGTGTTTCAGCAGCATGTCAACATAAACTAATTAATATTGTAAATTTATTCCAAATTTCTTGATTAATTTACAATATTACTAAATCATTCAGCTTGAAGTTAGCAAAACGTATTCCCTTGCCAACCACCCACTACCTAGTTTGCGTTATGTTATTTTCCATTTATTTCAACAATTTTAAATTTCAACATTTTAATTATCATAAGACGAGTATTGCATCGGTACCTGTAACTACTGAGGACGATAAGGTCTTCGGCATCAGTAATTTGTCTTCTACGCGTCTCTATTCCCCAGTAAACTAGCAACAAACACTACCTCAGTTGATCAGCATTAGACTCAGGTGTGAGGTGTCGTGTGATAACAAGCAAAAATTGTAACACAGGAATAGAGCATAAGGTCACAGTACGACTCTACAGTACACGTGTGACCAGGACGCAGGAGAATCACCACCTAAACATAAGAAGCAAATAAGTTCTTTAAATAAATTTTCAAAGTTTCAAACTACAAATTGTAATGCGGCATGCGAGGTTTGTCTGATGCTTGTGAATAATACTGTAAATCCCGTATAGAGACGGGAAGGTTGTATAAGGGTGTACTGTACACTTGAGGACGGACGTGGCTCGTGTGTGGCCAGACTGTGGCGAGGACCGAGTAAGTAAACACGTTCTTTCAAACTGAAATCCAATGTTCAGAAAGTACAGAAGTACAGAAGTACAGAAGTGTAAGTAACACGAGTGCAGAGGTCTTATTGCAACTATATCTTGCGCTAGTTAGGCCGCACCTCGATTATGCGGTTCAGTTCTGGTGCCCCTATTATAGAATGGATATAAATTCACTAGAGTCGGTGCAGCGAAGAATGACAAAAATGATTCCGGGACTTAGAAACCTTCCATATCAGGATAGGTTAAAGAAACTAAACTTGCATTCCCTAGAAAGACGAAGAGTGCGGGGAGATATGATAGAAGTGTTTAAGTGGGTGAGAGGAATCAATAAAGGGGATATAGATAAAGTTCTTATAATATCCGAGCAGGATAGGACTCGGAGCAACGGATTCAAGTTGGATAAGTTTAGGTTTAGGAGGGAGATAGGAAGAAACTGGTTCACAAATAGGGTGGTGGACGAGTGGAACAAGCTTAGCAACTTTGTAGTAAGTGCGGGAACTCTGGAAAGTTTCAAAAGGAGGCTAGATAGATTCATGGATGATAGAGAGTGGTAGTAACTCTCGACAGGAGCTGCCATGCACAGGCCAACCGGCCTATTGCAGACTCCTTATTTTCTTATGTTCTTATGTTTCTTATTGTTGGTTTATATCCGCACGATTGATAAAGACTTCTCAATACACGAAGACCTTGTTAAGATGGAACCTTTAGACACTACCACAAACGGATCTAACACCCATACGATACTTGTCTCTGTTGTTAGTGAGTATGGAGGGACTTAGTGATGTTCCTGCAGATAACTGACGGTGCAGAAGTAATAAACGGCAGTAAAAATTATATTGGTCAGTTTACTTAAAAAAGATGAAGTGCATTATATCACTGTTAACTAAATTATACACCAGGAACCATATGTGAGAAGGCACTGAAGAAGAGTGACGTCATGAACAGTGTTGTCAACAAGAACAACTTCAACACACATAAGAAACTCATGACTCTCTCAGAAGAGTTAAATTTTTATACCTTAAATTCTACATTGAACTCAAATATCAGATGATTGAATGCAGGGAAATATTGTCAGCATTTATCTTTTCTGAAGAAAGAAATCCTTTGCTTCCTCAGGAACAAGCAAATGGCAACACACACTGTTACCAACAATAAGATGATGACTTCATTCATCCCCGGATGTTCCTTCACCTAGAAGGCGTGAACTACAGCCTGACTTTTTTTTGTTAAGAGAGATAAACAAGTCATAATATTTTATTGATGTTTGTTTTATGGCAGCGTTTCCCGAAACGGAAATTTTATACTCGAGATGTATACAGTGTTTGGAAGCACATAGAGCTGTCAAAGTTATTTTTTGTGTGATGAAACAAAACATAAAATCCAAAACCATGATGAATAACAACCCAGGACTCGCACCTTAACCACAATCGTTGAAATTGATACTGAATCACTGGTCAAAGAAAAACCTCGCCCCCAGTACTGCCATGAACAGGTAAGGCTAAAACCTGAAGAGTTCATTTGATATACTTGTAGTCAATTTAGCACCTCTCTCTCTCTCTCTCTCTCTCTCTCTCTCTCGCTTCCTGAAAAATTAATATCAGAAGAGATTTGTTTGAATTTAAAATGATTGGCCAGGCGAACATTGTAGACTTCACACTCTACCAAAGGTTTGCAATTACTTCATTTTAATACGAAACAACAGTATGGACGCCCGTGAACTTTGTTAAAAGTATTCTTGGCTCGCAACAATACAGTAGGTAAACAGAACGATTTTGTAGTTAATGGATCTTGTTAATTATATTTTTTCTGCTAGTTCATGTGGCTGAGTATGCAATAACCCATTTAAGCATTGCAAAAATGTTTACACTAGACAAACATACGTATACAAATATCCAATTATCCTATGGACTAATGCTTATAAAATATTTCTTCATCAGTTCATCTGTCTCCTTCCCCCCACTTAACACGTGCTCACTTTATCTCAATTATTTTCTTACAATTTGTAGCTACACTCTCTCTCTCTCTTTAGCTCATCAACTTTAATAGACTTCTCACTTTCTTGAATTCCTGCTACCCAGAACTCTCCATTTATTATTAACTTCGCTTCCATCAAGCTGTTGCCTCCTGTAGTATGTTTATTCTATCAGACATATACACAGCGAATAAAACACAGTGTCTCAAATGGACAGACGTTCAATTCCCGAAAGGAGTGGAAGATTGGCCCACTCCTTATAAGTACACCCAGTAGGCTCAGAGAAGGTAAAACACACACACACACACACACACACACACACACTGTATATTATTCTTTCACATACTGGTGAATATTTCAAGGGCCTTTAATAGACTTTGAGTGAATTATCCTCGAGGCTTACTGACGGTATTAACTTGTCCTGAGTCAAACCCTATCATTTATTGCTTACCCTCACCGTGATCAATAAAAGCATGTTATATTTCACGTTTATATTTCAGTATTGGAATCTATTGCCACAAATTATAGTAATCTGGAAGGCGTTCACTTTTGCGGGTTTTACGGGGATATCAAGATGAACAAAACTCTTCAGTTCTTGGGTCAAGTAACTTCACGGGCACTCACACGCATAACAATAGAATAGATAATTGACTTAAGGTGTTACACAAAAATACCATTAACAATAGCACCAACAGAACACTAAGATGATCTACGTTCACTCGGCAACAAATGGAAGAAAATTAAGGGACAGAATGGAATCATATCTAAAATATTCTGAACCTTAGTGTAATTATGATAAGCGGGATGTTGTATAGCAGTAAAACGTAGACAGTTAAAAAAGATGAAATACACAGGCTTAGACGAGCTGAATTGAGAATGGCGAGATGGATGTTTAATATGAGCTAAGAGAGTATTGAGAGTATTGGCGAAGCCCTGCTTAGAGGTAGGCTGAGGTGGTTTGGGCGTGTGGAGAGAATGGATAAGACCAGTTGGGTCATGGGGTGCTTGAACCTAAATGTAGAAGGGAGGAAAACCAGAGGTAGGCAAAGATAGACATAGGGAGTGGTAAGAAAAGACATTAGAGCTAAGAATCTGTCAAAAGAGGTTCCAAGAGACCGTGCAGTATGAAGAGCTGCCAGAAGGTGATTCCAAGCGTGGAAAATGACAGTAAAATGTTAATGAGGATGAAGCTCATTCTAACCCCGTGTTGCCCCAGGGGCGACATATACTGTAATCACCGAGAAGGTTAAGCGCGAGTTGGCGGTGAGACCACTTAAGAGTGTGGGACATGTACTGTATTTAAGGCAGTAAGAACGGGTCGTGGTGGTGACGCACTCACCGAGGAAGCCATCCGCATGTGTTGTTGATGAGGCCACACACAGTACTATACATAACCGTGCGGGATGCATGTGTAAGACAGTAAGGAGCGGGTCGTGCTGGTGACACAACACACAACTCACTCAACAACTCCACAAGTGTAAGTGCTGCTCCTCACCTTGGAGGTTGTGAAATTAGCTTTGAATGTTTTTCAGTGGTGTTTACAGTGGTTGTTGGTGTTAGTTTAGTGTTAATAATGAGTAAAGGTGATTGTGGGAGGTGGTGTGTAACCCGTGGGTCCGACCTGTCCTACGGGCTGCACACCTGACTGACTTCCTGCTGTATCGTGGTGCACATATGACTGGCTGATCTGTATATTTGACTGACTGCTGCACAGTGCTCCCTACCTGTCATCATACTAAATACCTGATTCACTTCTGAGTCGTGCTCCACACATAACTGATTTCTAAGTCGTGCTGCATGTCTACCATCTACCAGGCTACACACACTGCCCACCGCCCTTCATACACACATCACTATATCATTCTTCGTGCACTATCTGTCATCTACCACCTGTCATATACAAGCCATCACCTACTACCACTGAGCACACCATTAATACCCATCCATCATCCATCTAAAGCAAATTACACCCATTACCATCACGTAACACCTACCGGGTTATATGTACTACCTAATTATCTAACACCCATTATATTCAACCCATCACCACGTCACACACCCTCTGCTGCCTACCACCGCCCACCATAACCTACAGCTCACTCGCTACCATCTACTAATCATTACCCACCAACCTACCCATCACTTGCCACCCAAAGCTCATCACTTACGACCCAGTCATCTACAACCAGTACCTAATATTCACCACACCTCATATACACCCCCTACTGCTATCATCAATTACTACCTCCACCTACCAGACAACACCCACCCATCATCACTACCAACACCAACCACTTTATTTTATTGGTCGTGTTAATCAGTTTTGGTCTCAATAAATTGATGATTGAAAGGTGGCAGGGGTACCTAGTGACAGCACTAGGATCCCGCTTCCTCTATCAAGGAATAAACAATTGAAATTGAAAAAATTGAATTGATTGAAAGATGCATAAAGCGGAGTAATACGTGACATATCTCATGCAAAATGTCTCCAACTCGTACCTCGTTGCCGCCGGTGAGTTTTAGTGAAGTACAGAATTTTACTTACGCTGATTAAGAATACAAAGACACAATAACGTCCCCATACCTTGTAAACACCAGACCGCACTCACATACACACAACTATCAACAATACTGTACATACAAGCAAAACCACATTCATTAACACACACGATCGTGTAGACACGCACATAATAGCTCACAGTGCAACACTCAATAATGACCCGCTGTAATGACACCAGGTGATGTCAGTCATACAAATAGTAATGATTCTTTGCTGTTTAGGGTAGCTCTGTAATAATATATGCGAGATGGATTTATAAAAATGTTTAATCTGTGTTAGGTGATCTATTAACTAAAGTGTATCATTGTGTAATATCGAAAAAAAATTTAACATCTCGAAAGGTCAGACACAACACCGCGCACCCGCCAGCGCACCTATGACCTGGAGCTGCAAATGATATTAACCAACAAGACTCTATATTTCGCAATAACACCCACAGCAGCGCCCAGTCGCAAAGAGCTGAAGCCACTTAAAAAGAGTGCGGGATGCGTGTGTGAGGCAATAAGGAGCGGGTCGTGGTGGTGACACAACACACAACTCACTCAACAACTCCACAAGTGTAAGTGCTGCTCCTCGCCTTAGAGGTTGTGTATTTAGCGACGAGTGTTTTCAGTGGTGTTTACAGTGGTTGTGAGTGTTGGTGTTGAGTGAGAGTAAATGTGGTTGTTGGAGGTGGTGTGTATCCCGTGGGTCAGCCCTTAGTGGGACACCTGTCCTGCGTGCTGCACACCTCACTTATGTGGAGTCCTGCCATACTTATACATGAATAAATACTGTGTCGCATCACGTTTCTGTTAACTGAGTGCTGTCTCGTATACCACGTTATATTAGCTTCACCCTTTAGAGGACAGCGGCACACTTAAGTATTTTAGTCTGGCCAAAGCCGGACGATTTTATTAATTCATTTGAAAGAAACTCCTTCCCTCTAAAGGGGTTAATGCTGTGTCGCGCCATGTTCACACACACACACCTTTATATATATATATATATATATATATATATATATATATATATATATATATATATATATATATATATATATATATATATATATAATGACATCCCAGATCTCCACCGGCATATACTGAACTCGGGCCCACGGTTAGGAGACAGAATGGCCACCACTGACCTACTGTGTGTTCTCTGTGTGATTCCAGATAATGCTCGGTGACAGCTTGAGCAACATCAACACAGGGAAAATAATACTGATGATGGTGAGCCTCGCCGTCAACACCGTCCTCCCGCTGCCTCCACACTCAGGTACTATACGTGATGACCGGAGTTTGGTAAGCAACCATCTACTGTACAAGGATAACCTGCACTTGTATATGGGGCAAACTCTTATGTATTATTCTTGAATAGTGAAGCGACAACATTAATAAGCACAGATCATGGACCCCATTATTATCTGCTTTGGTGAAATATTTATATGCCCAACCGAAGTTTAGGGACTATGTGAGGGAAATTGTTAAGCGGGAACACTTAAGACAGTCTAGAAAATCAGAAATCCAGGAGAGTAAAGTTTAAAACACGACATTCATAGTGAAAAACAAAGTACTTCGCTAATTTTGCGATGGCCAGGAATGTGCAACTATTCATTAAAAATAAATACAACAAACAGGGTTCTGAGGTACCTCAACCAGCCTTGATCATCGTAAGGTGATGTCCAAATGTAGTATACGGACGAAGCGAATTATGAAACGATGTACGAACATTAATATGTTCTATCTATATACATATGTAACACGGGTAACTTAGAGACATTTTCCGTCTTCCAAAATGATATACAGGGACACACGCGCACATCTTATATAATACTACATTAAAGATTCCGGCAAACTATCATTCTTCCTGTCTGGGTCAGTTGTAGGAGAGTTGTTGTCAGTGGAAGGTGGTGGTGTTGGCGCCGTGCTGGAGGCGCTGTCTCAGCCCACCTGCTCCCTCATCCTCCTCACAGATGGCACCACCTCACCCTCCACCATCATCAAGGTGATGTTTCTTTTATGTAGCCTCCACCTGCTGTATGTTCATATGTAGTCTCCACTTGCTGTATGTTCTTATGTAGTCTCCACCTGTTGTATGTTCTTATGTAGTCTCCACTTGCTGTATGTTCTTATGTAGTCTCCACCTGTTGTATGTTCCTATGTAGCCTCCACCTGCTGTAAGTTCTTATGTAGCCTCCACCTGTTGTATGTTCTTATGTAGCCTCCACCTGCTGTATGTTCTTATGTAGCCTCCAAAATTCTTCAGAAATACGTAATACATTCTTTTGTATGTTTTCTGAAGATTAGAAATTAGTTATATTTTCTGTTAAACATTAAAGTGTTGTCTAGGGTTTATTTCCAATCTATTCCCTACTCGTAAGTTGTGTCACTCTTGAACAAAGAAAAAAATAACGAACTGTTATTTTACTTCTTTAAATTATCAAAATAAAGCACGTGTCATCTCTATGTCGTGTATATATATATATATATATATATATATATATATATATATATATATATATATATATATATATATATATATATATATATATATATATATATAAGCCCTTTACATATCTGGTCTAAGTCGTGAATTTCTGTTATTCATTATAATTAAATGGTTATAAATTCAATTCATGTCTCAGGAGGAGAGTGTAGTACGAGGGAGCCCCTGGGGTGTGGGGGTGTTCGAGGTGGTGGTGGACGGCCAGGACGCTAACGAGACCCTGGTGCTGCTCTCCCACCTGCTCCACCAAGCTCGACAGGTAGGTCACTCTCCCACCTGCTCCACCAGGCTCGAGAGGTAGGTCACTCTCCCACCTGCTCCACCAAGCTCGACAGGTAGGTCACTCTCCCACCTGCTCCACCAAGCTCGATAAGTAGGTCACTCTCTCACCTGGTCTGCCAGGCTCGACAGGCAGGTCACTCTCCCACCTGCTCCACCAAGCTCGACAGGTAGGTCACTCCCCCACCTGCTCCACCAGGCTCGAGAGGTAGGTCACTCTCCCACCTGCTCCACCAGGCTCGAGAGGTAGGTCACTCTCCCACCTGCTCCACCAGGCTCGAGAGGTAGGTCACTCTCCTACCTGTTCCACCAAGCTCGACAGGTAGGTCACTCTCCCACCTGCTCCACCAAGCTCGATAGGTAGGTCACTCTCACCTGGTCTGCCAGGCTCGCAAAAGCAGGTTATCAAAATGGTAAAAATATCAAAGAACCAATATAAGGTAACCGCCTCGTCCTTCTATCAATAACACTTGCTCTCAAACTCAACTATAAATGGCACTCGTTCTGTCAGAGATCCGCTTGATCAGTCTGTGGGATGAACCAGATTTATTTAGCAGATTCCTGACAGCATGAGAGTCTCTGGCAACTGAGTTTCACACCACAGACCGGCACTGCTGCATCTGTAAGTAACCATCCCAACACCAGTTCTGAACTGAAATAAAGTTCCCTTGATCAAGGGTTTCGAATAATATATGTCCGGTAGTTCAATATTTCTTGTGTCACTGGATGACAAGACACTGTAACAAAGGGGGGTTATGAAAAGGGTATGAAAAGAGTTTTTTGAATGTCCTTAATGGTTAACCCTTTTAAGTATATATTATCACCTATAAACACTTGCAGAGAGAAAGGGTATATTATCATTCTCTACACCCTTACTACAAAGGTGTATATAAACATCAATACATTTAAAACCCTTAGGCTGCAAAAGGGTGAATAGAAGCCCTATGAAAATACCTCGGCACTAATCTTCCTCACATTAGCGTTTGTATGACGCTAATCCCCTTCCACCATCCAGTACCGTAAACACTATAGGTGGTATACCATACACAATTAACCGAGGGTGGCTTGTAAGATTCCCGGCCGTTGGACGGTAACTCACGACATTACTGTACGTTCCAACTTTACAACACTTATTTTCCACAAAGAAGGTTCATGACTTCTTTCTCACCAGCATGACCCTCTCTGATACACTCATTGTCACTTAAAATATTCCTTTTTACGTAAAAATAACTCCCAAAACAATGAACTAGATCCCACCTTTCTGTGGCGGGCTTGACGCTCATCCGCATGGTGGTCATTGGCTGTGTAAGAAGGTGCGCGGCATAATCCAAACCCAGGTTCATATATATATATATATATATATATATATATATATATATATATATATTTCTTTCCCTTCTTGCTTCATTATCTAGCCTCCTCCTCATGTACAGGTGCACAGTAGAGTTGCTTAGGTTACACATGATCATTAAGAATGAATATTACATGAAGTCACTAAATTACCAACACCATATTTCCATCATCTCTTCACCACATTGTCATGATTATAACGGCTAAGATGACCCAAGAAGCACACGTAATTACTCAGAAATAATTTAAATCCAAATTAAATTTTCTCGGCACCGTTATGAGTAGTTTTGCCATGTGACGCAATAAAACTAATTGTATTCTAATAAGTATGATTTAAGATGTTTTTCATTTAAAGAAAAATTTGTGGTTATTGATGTTTCGGTACACACTCAGTGTTATATTGCAAGCATTTCACAAACAATGAACCAAAGATATCTAGAGACAGAGAGAAAAAATACCAACAGGCGATAATGTAAGAACCAAATGCAACATAAAAGATATTATAGACAGCAACATTCCCTACCATGTCAATAAAGGGGGTATACTACATATCATGAGGAATTTTGCAGTAATTATACACTTTTAGGCCTAAAATACCCCTTTTATACCATATACTTCTTACGGTGTATATCTGTTCTAAATATTTTTGCCACAGTTATATATGGCATTATCAGGATTCACAGATATAATTCTGACCATAATTAATGTGGCAGTGAGAAATATACTAAATAACTATCTAAAAGCTGACAGTGAACTGAGAACCTTTAGTGTGCCATAACTGTTTGGCGCGATCAGTTATAAATCATCTGATATCCAAAAATTGGCACAAAAGTCTCCTTTGCAGTCCTAATTCCTTCTAACCGCCACAGAACCTTAATAATCATAATTTAAAGCCAAAATGATTAAGGTTGTGGTTCTTGTCCCGGTTTTGTAACAGGTGAGGATGGAGTCTCGGTGTGTGCGGGTGGTGGTGGTGAGTCACGACCCGGTCTTCCTCAACACCTTCGCCGAGTGGTCCCTCAAGGGCCGCCTCCTGGTGTGGGCCACCAAGCTGCTGGTGGTCACCAGCCTCCCACTCCCACAGCTCCACGCCCTCCTGTCCTCCCACTGGACCTTCTCCATGATGAACACCATCTTGCTCAACCTGGAGGACACACCACCCAACCTCAGGTAATATACACAATGAACACCATCTTGTTCAACTTGGAGGACACACCACCCAACCTCAGGTAATATACACAATGAACACCATCTCGTTCAACCTGGAGGACACGACACCCACGCTGTAAAATGTTTATGGTTGTAAAGGCCTGGGACTTAGGGATAGAAATCCCTTACCAGGCTAATCAGGATCTTAATATAGGCAAGTCAAGGACCATGGTTTTCCGAGGAATAACAAACAACCGTTAGAGATTGGCATCTCTTTACTATAAAAATATAACAAAACTCTGACACCACTCAACAAACATCAAATAATTACGGGAGTCAAACAATTAAAGGAAGCAAACACTTAAAGGAATCAAACAAATAATAGAATCGAACAATAAAGGGGAGTCAGCAATTAATGGAATCAAACAATGAACAAATATTTCCTACGGCAGTGGCCCTGGGGGAAGGTTCTGGAACGCGGTGATGCACACTCAGGGCAGGGAAGCGTCCACTTCGCTCCACACTCAGCAACGTCTTGAAAAGGCAGGAGAACACCGGGGCACCGACGGAATGTGATGAACTGATGGTCGTGGTATGCGGTAGTGGTAGATGACCAGAGAGTTGGCAGTTGATAGGTGAAGGTCTGGGAACACAGCCCACGAGTCCAGGACCTATGATGAGATCACAGCCAGAATTTGACGGACAGCAGGGTAGCTAGATACTGACGGTATGGCGGCTGGGTTGAATCTGCCCGCGGCGGAGAGGGTTGCTGCCGTTATCACCTCCGTCCAACCACCCCAAGTGTCGTCTGCACCAGCAAACGAGCGAGTTAGCAGCGGTAACTAGCCGGAGGATCGTTTTCTGCCCTTACAATGGCATAAAAAGGGTATTTTAGGCCTAATAGTGTATAATTATTGCAAAATTCATCATGATATGTAATTAACCCTCTTTATAGACATGGTAGGGAATTACATAAGAACATAAGAATGGAGGAAACTGCAGCGGGCCTATTGGCCCATACTGGGCAGTCCCGTTTACACCCAACCCCTATTGCTCATATGAGCATCCAACCTATGTTTGAAGCAATTCAGGGTATTCGAGTTAATGATGATATTTGGTAACTTGTTCCATTCATCCACTACTCTGTTTCCAAACCAGTGTTTACCTATTTCACGCCTAAATCTAAATTTGTCTAATTTAAAACCATTGTTACGAGTTCGCACCTGGTTGGATAATTTGAGTACCTTTGTAATGTCCCCTTTGTTTAGCCCTGTCTTCCACTTATACACCTCTATCAGGTCGCCCCTCGCTCTACGTCTCTCGAGGGAGTGCAAATTAAGATGCTTTAACCTGTCTCTATACTCAAGGTTCCTAATGCCCGGGATTAGTCTTGTCATTCTCCTCTGAATTCTTTCCAAGGATTCTATATCCATTCTGTAATACGGTGACCAGAACTGAACTGCGTAATCCAGGTGTGGTCTCACAAGAGCAAGATACAGTTTAGTAACTAACACTCCTTTGATGACCTACGCCTAGTTTACTTGGCTTAAGGTTCCTACTTATCATTAACTCCTAAATCTCTCTCGCAGTCGGATTTCTCTATGGCATCGTTGTTCATCTGGTATCTGGTTTCCTGTTTACATCTCCTATACTGAGTACTTTACATTTGTCGACGTTGAATTTCATCTGCCATTTTTCAGACCATTCCAAAAAATTTGTTTAGATCTTCCTGTAGTTTTGCGAGTCCTCGTCAGATTTGATAACACGTCCTATTTTAGTGTCATCAGCAAATTTACTTATGTTGCTGTCTATGCCGATATCTATGCGTTTATGTATATAATAAACAATAATGGTCCAAGTACTGAGCCTTGGGGAACTCCACTTGTGACGTTGCTCCAATGGGACTTAGTGCCGTTAATGCTCACTCGCTGTTTCCTGTCCTGTAACCACGCCCTAATCCATTTAAGGATGTTACCTTTGATGCCATGAGCTTCTACCTTTCTAATTAGTCTTTCGTGGGGGACTCTGTCAAAGGCTTTGCTAAAGTCGAGATATACCACATCAAAATTGTGCCCCTCGTCCACTGATTCGAAACTGATGAAAAGAATGTTAATAGATTAGTTAGGCAAGAACGTCCGCTTGTGAAGCCATGCTGGGAATCATTGATCAATCGGTGCTTCTCCAGGTGATTTCGAATAGAGTTTGAAATGATTGCTTCCAGTAATTTGCCTACTATTGATGTTAGACTGATTGGGCGGTAGTTAGAGGATAGTGATCTATCCCCCTTCTTGAAAATCGGTATTACATTCGCTATCCTCCAGGATTCTGGTACTACACCTGTTTTTAAGGACATGTTAAACAACTTTGCTAAGGGCATACTAAGCTCTTCCTTACATTCCTTTAATACTCTGGCAAATATCTCATCGGGACCAGGTGACTTATTAGGCTTTAGTTTGTCTATTTGCTTACTAACATCGTTACTAGTCACTACTATCTCACTTAATTTGTTTTCTTCACTATCTCTGAATAGAGTCGGTGCCTCGGGTATCATGTTTAGATTTTCGGTGGTGAAAACTGTTGAAAAATATTTATTCAAATTATTGCTCATTTCTCCGTCGTTATCAGTGAGCTCGCCGGAGTCTGACCGTATTGGTCCAATCTTTTCTCGTGTTTTAGTTTGATACATTTGGTAGAATCCTTTGGGGTTTGTCTTCGCCTCCCTTGCTATCCTTACCTCATTATTCCTCTTTGCTTTCCTTATCTCGGTTTTAACTCTACTCGCCAATACCCTATAATAGTCCCGAAGGTGAATTTCGCCACGATTTATCCTTCTACCTATAGCCTTCCTTTGGCCAATGATGTTCTTTAAATAATTATTTATCCATTTGGGGTCATTGTTGTCTGATCTGAGTTTTTTGTATGGTATGTTCTGCCTTTGTGCATTAAGTAACTCACTATTTAAATTATCGTGGAACTCGGCAATCTCAGATCTCGTTATCAGGTCGGTGTCATCTGTCAGGTTCACGGCCAAGCGCGACACCCCTCTCTCAGCTGCCTCTTTAAACTGTCAAAGTTTGCCCTTCTGAAATCTGGTACTTTAGTGGAATTTTCCTTACGTCTGCCCTGAAAATCTAACTGGAATCGAATTTCTTTGTGATCGCTGTTTGCAAGTTCGTTTCCTACCTCGACATTGCTAATGAGGTTTTCTCTGTTCGTCAGAACTAAATCCAGTATATTATTACCCCGTGTGGGTTCGGTTATATGTTGACTTAGGAAACAGTCCTGGATCGTCTCGAGAAAATCCTCTGATTCTGGAATTACCCACGTAGGACGAATTCAATCTATTTTGGCCAAGGTTAAAGTCGCCTGCTATACCAGACTTTGTTGTGTGGCGGAAGCCCTCAGCATTTCATCCCAGATAAGTCGCTCATTGACGCTATCAAGATTAGGGGGTTTATATATTACTCCTGTGATTAATTTTTCCCGACCGTTGCTTAATTCTATCCAAATTGTTTCTGTATTCCTCTCAGTATTTATTTCCTTATTTATTTCACACTTCAGATTATCCCTAACATAGATTGCTACTGCGCCTCCTTTCCTGGTCTGCCTATCGGTATGGAACAGTTTGTAACCCGCAATTTGGTATTAGACTGGTAATTCACGTGTGTCTAGGTTGATCCATGTTTCAGTGAATGCAATTATATCGATTTCTTCGGTACATACCAAGGCCTTAATATCATCCATTTTGTTTCTCATACTTCTACTGTTCGCGTAGTATACATTTAAGTTAGTCGTGTTCTGAGTCCTTCCCTTACCGCGTTTAGTTTTAAACTCCCTGTCTAATTTAGTTTTGTCATCATTCCTAACACTATTTTCCTGTAATCTTTCGCCTTGTTTACCCGCTCCCACTGCAGTCTCCTCCACCCCCGTGCTCCTATGTTCTCTTAGCAGTTTAAAGACTTCGATATCTTTTGAACTGCCCCCTCTAGAGCCCCAGCCAGGGTTGCTACTCCATCCCTAGACAGGTGCACCCCATCCCTAGCATAAAGGTCCCTTCTGCCATAGAAGTTGTCCCAGTTGTCAATGAATAGGACTGATATTGACTTGTAATATCTGTCAAGACGGTCGTTAACACCAACTGCCCTTGACAACCATTCACTGCCAACTCTCCTTCTAGGCAGGACACCTCATATGATAGGGATCCCTCCCTTAGTCCTAATACGATCTATGGCTGCCTTGAACTTATCAAGAAGTTCCTCGCTCCTACACCGGCCAATATCATTGCCTCCTGCACTGAGGCAGATAATGGGTTTGTTCCCATTACCAGACAGGATATTGTCCATCCTGTCAACTATATCCCCCACCCCAGCTCCTGGCAAACACACCCTCATCCTATTTTTGTTTTTACCACAAAAGGCCCTGTCCATGTACCTTACCTGTGAGTCACCAACAATTAAAGTTTTTATACCTTCCTTGTCATCCCTGCCCCTGACTGTACTAACGTCCAATTCGTCTATCAAGGGACTGAACGGGTTGGTACACTTAGCTGTTGTTGTCGTTGTTGTCGTATCCTTTGAGTGCTTCTTGACCACCAGCTTGGTCCTGCCACTACTCACGACTTTCCACTCGTTTGATTTTTCGTCAGACACTGGCTTTACTCGTCCAGCCTCTCCTTTTAACTTCGCCAGCTCTTTCCTTAATTTCAGGTTCTCCAACATGGCCCTCTCAATTTCTAACTTGGCCCTCGCCAATTCTTCAATGGACCACTCCAGTTTGGTCAACAAACTGGTTCATTGTTTGTTAAATGTTTGCAATATAACAGTGAGGTACCGAAACATCAATAACCATAAATGTTCCTTTAAATTACCAAAATTTTAAATAGTATTTATTAGAATACAATTAGTTTTATTGCGACATATGGCAAAACTGCTCATTAAAGTCGCCAGACACCACTTCCATCCCATCAAGAATTTTAACAAAACTTCACATTGTTTCTCCTAATCTACTTTGTAAATTAATGGGCTGAAAACGTTACTTTGGATTTAAAATATTTTTCTTAATTACATGTGCTAGTTATCTAACCAGAATATAATCAAGACGATGTGTGGCGAAGAGAAGGTGTTAGTATGATGTTGGTAATTTAATGACTTAACATGTAACATTCATTCCTAATGATCATGGCTATCCAGAGTAACTCTTCAACATGAGAGGAATAAAATTAATTAAGAAGGGAAAGAAAATATGGAATAAGGAATTATTTAAAACACCTTGGGTTTCGAATGTGGCGACATAGCCAAATAGCGCCGGGTTACACTCTTGACTTTCACTATCAATCAGCACCATGCTGAGTGTCACTGAGTCTGCCGGGAAAGAGGGACCACTTTTGCTTTGGGGAAAAAAAAAAATTCTAACAACGAGTTCATCAATGAGTAACAGTGTTCGTGAATGGCGTGGGCATGCTAGAAAGAGAAGTCATGACCCTTTCTTGTGGGAAAAGGACTATTGATTGCAAAATGGGAGCGTAACGTCGCGAGTGCACCAATGGTCGATTCTGCACCGTATCATACTCGGTTATTTATGGTGATAACACCTGAGTATTCATGTTACTACTATTAACAACATCCAGGATATAACTGAGAGACGTGAAGACTGTGTTGTCATAGTGTATGTCTCATTGAATAAGCGGCATACAACGGTAATGAGGAAGATCAGTGCAGAGCCAAAGGGCATCGCTTCACCTTGATATGCCTTTTTACAACCTAAGAGTTTTAATTGTATTATATGCCCTTTTGTGAGTAAAGGTTTAGAGAATATAGCCTTTATATCTTGTCATTAGGGACACTCAAAACCCGTTTGCATACCCTTTCTTTTTAGTGCATCTACATTTCTACATTGTTATTTCCAGACATTGTCAGCTTCCAAATACATGGCTGGCGCATCACCCTGTAACACAAAGCTTTTTTTTTTCACTACAAAAATTTTTCTGTTCTAAGGGTGAATTTGATATATTAATTAAACACGACATCTATATGTATATATATATATATATATATATATATATATATATATATATATATATATATATATATATATATATATATATATATATATATATATATATATATATATATATATATATATATATATATATATATATATATATATATATATTCTAATATCGCTTAAATGATTCTTCTAACTACTATTTTCACTTCAGGCGTTAAGTAACCTAGAAAATATTCAAAACATATACTGGTAAATAATTAAATTAATTCGTGGCTCAGTTAGGTCGCACTTCTTAGCACTATGTGTCTTATAGCAACATTTGAGTACATGTTTATGTGAATGTATTACAGTATTTCTAAGTACTGTATTATCGTGTATCAATAGAAGGTGAGGAATTGATGGACTATGCTGCACAATTGTACATGTATTGTATAATAATTAAATGGGCTTTGTACTTGTAAATTTTGAATTAAAACTCTGCAGATTGGGAAAGTTGCTGATCAGTAATATAATGTTTACTCTCACCATGGACAGGGTCAGCGTGTACACCACTCAGCTATACACCCCAGAGCGAGCTCAGGTGGTGAGAGTTGCTTCCTGAAACCACAACTCGTAAGAGAGGACATTCACTCTTCCCGCCTAAATTTTCAAAGTAATTATGCAGTAATCAATGAAGCTTGCATATGCACGTACGTCGCTGTGGTTTTCCTTTAATGTTATCAAAAGGATTAATCTTAATGATAAAGAATTATAAGTTATGCTCACGTATATTTTACTTAATAATAACTGCAAAGAAGATCAATATTATTGCCGAAGACTTCAGTAATACCTACTAAAGTATACCATTTCCTACAATTTGTATCAAATTATACAAGAAGCTCAAAGTAATATTCCCACCAGTCTCTTGCTGTGATCGCCCCTGAAAAAGACGATACAAGCTACCCGTAAGAAGTACTGTTATATGATTTCACCTCTCCCTGGAGCCTAAAACGGGCAATCACCTAATTACGTAGATCTCCTAATAATATGTAAATAATTTTCCCGAGTAAAATACATTACTGTCTTGAAAGTCATTTCATACTGGTCTTAGGTGTTGCCGGAATTTCATGTTTAAATCACATGCACAATTCAAGTGTCTTCAGTACCAATAAAGATTTAAAATCGACCAAAGCATCTCACTGTTTATCACCTAGTGTACATGAAACCCAAGAGTCTCTCAAGATAAATTTTCCTGAGATTATACTTAGTATGTCATGGTGTGTCACTGGTGATTTTTCAGTTTATCATTATGGGTATTTCCAGTTGTTGTTGTGTAAAGATTATATTAATTCATTGTCTGTTGTTTCATTTTTCAATTACTTTGTTTAAGGTAAGAATAAATACATATTGAATATGCATAATAATGAAAAACTATTTCATAACTAAAAATGCATCCTCTTAAATTTTTAATAATTATTGTAAGGCATCAAACATCAGACACTTGATACAGTGTTATCCTAGTAGATATAACCTTAACAATATTACCACTACTCAATTGTCATAGACAAGCGACTCCCTCCATACCAAAGGTTGTCTGTCTTTCATCACATGAGACTAAGGTGCTCGTGATGCCCACCCAGTATTACCCCTCCACGTCTCATTCATGCGCAGTCTAGTACGCTGCATGTATCCTGAAGGAGCCATCATGACATAATAACTAGGAGCAGCCCATGATTGATGGCACTTCTTTTAACACATAAAATTTTTATCATTAGGAAAGTAATGGCTGATTGTCTTTTTTGTATAAGAATAATTGAAGTTTTATATCGTGTCACGAATAGATGACGCTCCCAAATGGTAATAGTATTTAAATAAGAACGTTATTGCCTTCAGCTTCAATGGTGCAAAGGTGAACGTGACTGCCCTGCCATTCGCGCCATACTGGGGCGAACTGAAGGGATCTGATGGTGCAAAACAGTACTCTGGCACCGACTATTTCTTGTTAAAATCAATTGCGGACTCCCTCAACTTTACCATTAATGTCGTGCCCACCACCTCGTGGGCAGAGGTGAGTAAGAAATGGCACTAAACCAGCACGTCACTACCTGCCACACTACATTATGCCATTTCACCGCAAAATAACACCCGCAACCTGAAACTGCATTTTAACCTAGGTATTAGTGCTCTCTTTCCCGCTTGACCCCACGCCAAGCACCTCACTCCTGGACCGTATGACACCACGAACTCGTATAAATAAATCACGTCAGATCCCAATCCACATTACACATCATATCCACTAAGCTACATCAAAACTCACACGACAACCCCAGCGGACATTATAGACTGAGATGAAAAATAAACTATATATAATTATACAGTAGATGGAAGTTGCTCTACGATGCCATTGACAATAGTGTGGTTGCAGGTTACACAGCGTGTAGTGGATCGGGTGTCTTTCATGGCAACTGTGTTCCACATCATGCTGCCTGGACGCCTTGAGCGCTACGACTACTCATGGGTGTACGAATATGCATCCCTGGACTTCAGTATGGCCCGGCCGGGTATCAAGCCACAGTGGCAGTCGCTCTACTACCCACTCACTGACCTGGTGTGGGCGGCCGTCCTGCTGGCGCTGCTGCTCACCCCTGTGATCCTGCTGCTGGTGAGTTACGTAATACTAATAAAACATTCCATATATTCATGTGTCGTTATGAATGATACACAGAAATTACTCTGCACTGTGTGGGATGTCATACATTATAACTTATGAATGTGGTTTTGTAATTTTTTTTTTGTCATTCCATAAAGGTGATGCAGAATTACTTGACAAATGGATTGGAATAAAAATAAGTTTAGGATACGAAAATCCTAGATATATGTTGCTGTTACAAAAAATTTATATAATTTTAAGTAACTTGACACATGAATGTTGAGTATCCTCTTATTATTGGGATAATTCTTTCTAGGTACCACTTCACCTCGACACCCCTTCAAGGAGCACACTGTACTGTATTGTACCTCCTCATTAAAAGATGACATCAATAGAAAATGTCGCTATTCATCTGACTCTTGATTAATGTTTTGGCCCATTGTGTTCAAAGATGGTCCGTCCAAAGGCCACTTGACAAGAATTTGATTTAGGCACAAAAATTGCAGCCAATATAATCACACCTTTAGTTAGCAAGCTGTATAAGTCATTGTCAATAGGGAACCCAAGAAGACCAAATAGTCTGTCAATCAGTAGTTATCCATTACCCCGTAACATGAACCACGAATTGATTCACATATATGTCCCCAATCCTTACTGCGTAAAAGTATGTCCTATGAAGGGCAATGCAATGCATAAAATTATACTTCAGAACACACACCCTTGACAGGCAACACTGCTGTGAACCAAACCACAGGTCACCAGTACAATCTGGTGTACATCAATAGACCAATAAATGAACGGGAACCAAACTGGCAGTTACTGAGGACCAAATAATTCCAAATGTAGTGAAATGAGGGTAATATTGATGTTATGACTGAAACTTGTTATTATTGCAGATTATTCGTGTTGGTGAATGGAAGGATGGTGGGGACAGGATAGCCACAGGAACGGTGGTGCAGGATGTTACAGGGATGCTGTTAGGACAGAACTTGCCACGACGGCTGCCCACAGTCATCTCCAGCCGTGTACTGGTGGCTTCCTGGTTGATGTTCGCTCTTATAATCGGGTCTACCTATCGTGGCAACCTCACCGCCTTCCTCACACTGCCCAAGTACCCACCCCGTGCCGAGACAACCCAGGAGCTTGCTCGCGTAGCAGAAAGGTCGGGTTCATCTGTCTTCATGCACAATGTCTGAACATTGTAAGTAGTATACTGCTGTGAGAAATAACTTTATTATATTATTAAAGGATGTTTTGGATACACCGCTTTTGTATATATATATATATATATATATATATATATATATATATATATATATATATATATATATATATGCATGATACACAAGGAAGAAAATATTTAAAATCTAGGATTACAGGTAGTATGAACAAGGTGTGTATATATCGAGGAGGTGAGACCAAGTCCACAATGGTCAGGTATTAGGTAATGACCCTACTAATCTTTAAATAGCACCGCAATCGAATGGTAGTCAGGTCAGGGTAAGGTGACCCAACCTTCACCTGGTTACCTTACTGTTGTCAGTTATTTGTTACAAATCTTCTTATTTAAGAAGATTTGTAATCAGGTGAGAAGGTTGGTATCCACCCTCTTGACCTGAACCATGACCGTTGCGGTGCTATTTAAAGATTAGTAGGGTCATTACTATACCTGGACCATTGTGGACCTGGTCTCACCCTCCTCTGTATATAATACACCTTGTTTTGTACTTTTCTTTAGTCTGTACTCCCTGAAGATGTGAATTACACGAAAGCGCTTGGGAAATTCGTTTTTCTTTCTTCCTTGTGGTTATCAGCATATACCTAGATCACGCGCACTACAGTGATTTACTTGCATATATATATATATATATATATATATATATATATATATATATATATATATATATATATATATATATATATATATATATATTTCATGTAAATCAAATGAAAACGTGGATAAGATAATGATATCCACACGGGAAAATGAAACAACGTTTCCCCTTTCCCGCGTGATTTTATCAATATATATATATATATATATATATATATATATATATATATATATATATATATATATATATATATATATATATATATATATACACACACAATTTACGTGCGTCTGTGCATGTGTGAGTAGTTATCGACAAACCACAGGATAACGATGCCCTCGTATGGAGTAGAATTCAGAAATTTCTTCAGCCAGTCAGATTCACAGCTGTTCAAGAGACTGGGCCAACTGATGCACATCGTTCCATCAGTAATCGTTGGATACCAACAGGCAGTTAAAAGAAAGTAAGTTTCTCTTTGGTTGGCAGCAGAAAAGATTTACACATATCTTTCAAAACACCGCCACTTATCAAAAAAATTCATTGAACTCCACGGAAACAAAGTTTGTTTTACTGTTGTGAGGCTGCAGTGTAGTGACCAGTGCAAGCCATACTTAAACTATAAAGTCAAGTGATAATATTTAAATTGAAATCCTTTGTTGCCTCTCTTAGTTGCCCAGATATTTTAGCTTGTTTACACTTGAGTATATTGTATTCGCATGAATTATAAATATTTTTGGTGCCAGTGATCTAACACTAACTGTGATTGTCAGACAAGCTCATTTGGACGCGCGACGCTACCTACAGCTAAAGATAGCGGAACTATACACTGGGGCGGACGGAATACCCAAGTTATACATCGGCCGGGAGAGTATCATTCCTGGCCAGTCCGCCTGGCCCATCCCCCACGACGCACCCTATAGACCCGTCCTGGACCGCTGCCTCATGGCTGTCATAGAGGTTAGCAAGCTACACATTAAATAAGTTTTCTCTTGAACGTATAATTACATGTACAGCCCCCCCTCACTAGTGCTTTTATAGGGTCTCGTCAGGTATTGTGCAGTGTGACAGAGCTGTATATTGTTATAGAAAACGCCCAATATTAAACATACTGTTGAATTAAAGTAAAAAATATTAAGACAAATGTATGGATGTCAAGATTTTTGGAATGTTTATATGCTTAATAATAACTGCATTAAATAGACTGTTATTAGATTGTATCTTTTGCCTCGTGGACGGTGTTATAGCAAGGTGAAGTGAAGTAATTAATGTGAGGTGGGGGGTGTGATGGAGGGCGAGAAGGTGTCGTGAGAAAGAAGGCCGCTGTTAATTCATACCATTAGTGAATAACATAACATATATAATGCTGGTATTTGATGTCTTTGATTAGTAAAGGAAGAAAATATTGTGAAGGTGTGGAAAGGATGTGTGTGTGTGTGTGTGTGTGTGTGTAATAATAATTAACGGTGTATTGAAAGAGCATAGCAGCCGGAAGGCTGAAAATATATAGTTACATAATTGGGGAATGGGTCTCTTGATTTACATATAAAATACAAGTAACATAAGTGATACAAATATGATATATAATAACTAAGGTGGGAAGAAGCTCAAACTACAGGGCATTTCAATATAGTGACAGTGCAAAAAGTAGGATTTACTGGGAGTGAATACACTGGTTTATGACAAGTTATTGATAATTTTTACACTGGTTGGGACTGGGCTGTTCCTATAGCGATCAGTTCGTGCTCGTATGGGTTGCATGCGGTTGTGGTGTCGAACAACAATTCTCGGGCGAGGGATCTCAGGTGGTAGTAGGATCCGGTGTCGAGGATGGTGCAGAAGCTTCTCACCAAATTTGCAGATGAGGTCGTGGTAATGGTCAGTGAGAGCCGAGAGGGTCAGTGTGTTGAGCGCTTCTTGATATGTGGAGTAGGAAGGGGAGAGAATAGTCTTGCATGCCCTCTTTTGCACTTTTTCTAGGTGTTTACGTTGTGTGGCATTTAGGGAGGAAGAACAGGTAGGGGAGGCATTGGTGAGCTTGGGAAGTATGAATGTTGAGTAAACACTGAGGAGCTCGAGTGCAGGAACTCCGAGGGGCTTGAGTCGGCAGAGGAGGTGGAGACGGAAACTGGAGGATTTGACAACTTCACTGACATGTGGTTTCCAATTTAGTTCGTCGTCTATGGTGACGCCGAGGAGCTTAGTGGAATCTACAACCTGGAGTGTGTTGGGATCTAAATTAATGGAAGGGGGTGGGACAACGTCGGAGGAGAGGTTGATGTGCATAACCATGGTCTTGGTATGGTTGATGATGATGTGGTTGTTGGTGGCCTAGTTTTGGAGACTGTTCAATAAATCCTGAAGGGCGGTATAGTCGGGAGCAGAATTGTTGACGCTGATCCCAATGGAGGAGTCGTCAACATATTTCCAGCGAGCAGGGGTTTCTCTTAGAGCATCATTGATAAGCATAAGGAAGCCTAGTGGTCCCATCTTGGTGCCTTGGGGGACGCCACAGGTGAGTGACTGAAAGGTGGAGACAGCCCCTCGTAAGCGTACAGCGTGGCGTCGGTCACTGAGGAAGTCTGTAAGCCATGGTATAAGACTTCTTCGAAACCCGAGGTCGATAGCTTTGTTGATGATTAAATTGTGGTCGACTAGGTCGAATACTTTAGTGAAGTCAATGAAGGCGACAGCTACAGACGTTTTTCGTTACTCCAGATGGCGGTATATGTAGTCGAGAAAGCTGACAAGACAGTGAGTGGTGGAGAAAATTTTCATATTACCAAATTGCTGAGGTTCTGCGGCTCCTACAATATCAGCATAAGCCCAGTCGAACACAAAACTTTCACAGATTAAGCTGGGTATTGGGGTGATTGCAATAGGTCGTAGCTGATTTAAGGATTGTGTGCTGGTTGACTTGGGCACTGGTGATACAAAAGAAGTCTTCCAGTCAGCTGGGCAACTGGCTTGACTGAGAAGCATTGATGGTGGAGCAGGGGGGTTTAGGAAGAGTTTCATCGGTAAGTCAATGGGGCTGGTGGAGCGTTTTAACTTTAGTTTGTCCAGACGTTTTGCAATTTCAAATTCTTCTACTAAGTCAGTGGGAAAGGGGGCTGGTAGGTAAACAGGGAGATTGATTGTGTCAAGCCGGGGGAGCGTCTGGCATATAGTAGCGAAATGGTTATTTGATTGCTCAGCTGCGTCAACATTAGTGAGATGGCTAAGGAAGGGGAGGGGGTGTATCTTATTGTTTAGTCCACAGAGTTCTTTAAGCTTACCATACCAGCGACTGATGTTGGTCTGCTTCAGATGTTGCAATTTGATTGGGTAGTGAGACATCCTTGCAGTGCGTATTTCGCGGATGACTCGGTTGCAAAGGGACCTGTAGCAGTTGTGGTCATTGAGATAAAAGGCTCTGTCTCTCTGTTGCACGAGTCGTTTGATCCGAGGTGTGATCCAGGGCAAATCAGCTGGGTGAGATCTGACGGACTTCTCAGGGAAGTGGTGGTGAGCTTCCGTGGTGGTGTTAGTATAATTTATCCATTTGGGTTCCACGTCATCCACGTTAAGTACTTCAGTCCAGGGATTGTGAACTATCCACTGTCCGAAGTGGCGCACTGCAGAGTCAGTAATCGGCCCGTAGGTCCTGATGTAGGGTCTCTGTACTTGAGTGGGAGTGGCAGCTGGGGACCAGAGCTCTGATAGGTGTGTGCTACATCCGATAGGAGGCATTGGTTGAGGTGGTTGGTACTGGCCCGCTAAGTCAGTTAAGATAAGGTTAAGGGTATTTTGACCGTGTGTGGGGAAGTTCACAACTTTGAGATAGTGACAGCTGGTCCTGGATATCAGTGGTGTCAATTTCATTATAATCCCCGCATAATACTAACTTGGCACATGGGTACCTAACTCTTAGGTGGTCTGAGGTGGTAATGAGATGATTGATAAGAGTGTCTCTGGTGGGTGAGTGAGGAGGATGGTATGACACAGATTATGATGGAAGCAGTGTGGCGCGGGTGGGCACAACACGTATCCATAATGTTTCCACATCTGCTAGGACTTGAACATCCAGGCGTGATGGGCGAAAAAAAAATTGTTGGCTAGGGAAGTGACGTTGTCGAGCAGTAAGGACGGGAGATCATACCATATCCGTGGAACTTCAGTGTAATGGTAAGGTCTGTCAGGGGTGGGTTTCTGTGTGTGTGTGTGTGATCGATATAATTATCTTATATAGCTAATTGCGTATTATATTGAAAATTCGTTATATGCGACACCCGTCACCACGATACAATGATTATATCAAAATACTAGATCAGAAAAAACCTCCCATTGTGACGAATAAGTATGAAATGTTGCATTGGCACCTCAAGTGTTGCAACATGTTTCCATTTTAATAAAAGCGGTGGACACACCTCTGGAGTCTCCTCCACCGCAGACAATTTATTTAAAAACATACTCAACACATATTGTTACTTTCATTCTGGTTTCAAAAAATAAAATGTCTGAAATGACAACTGATTTAAAATTCCTTAAATGTGACAAGTGCAAACACTGATTACGGTATGTTATCAATGATCAGTCAATTCATACCCCTCGCTTGGCCCCGATTCCTTTATAGATAAAAAAATAGATATAGCTTATAGAAAGGGAATTAGTTGTGCTTAGAATAAAGTCATATTTTAATTTACTGTACAGTTCACCATCCTTACACAACCAGACGTGACATGCACCTCGGATACTGAGACAAATTTCAAGCACTCTTATTATTATTACATGTTTTATTTACTCCATTAGTATAGTATAGTTGATTGTTCTAGCAAGCAACAAGCACATGTGAATAAAGAGTCACTGCAATTAACTTCAAACCTCTTCTTGTTTACACTATGGCCAAAGTGTAACATGAACAATATGAATGTTACCTGCCTAATATAGCAGACGAGGAAAATAATAGATATAAACTTAAGCCTCACATGAGGTAGAGGGACACCTGCCACCACTTCCCTCCCTGCTGCCCCCACACTCACTTAACGTCACTTTACCTCGCTATAACACCGTCCATTAGGCAAAAGACACGATCTAATAACAGTCTATTTAATGTATTTATTATTATACATATAAACATTCCACAAATCTTTAAATTTATATATTTGTTTTAAAATATTTTTTTTTTTACTTTTATTCCATATTATGTTTACTATTGCAAGTTTTCTATAACCAAATACAGCTCTGTCATACCACAAAACCTGACGAGACCCTGTAAACGCACTAGTGACGGGGACTGTACCAACGCTGCTTCACTTTATAAAAGTAGTTTACTGAAGTTCATGGGTGTATAATTATGCTTGCTGTCAGTTTATATTATACAAATTTTACATCAGCAAACTCTAAAAGCATTTTTTTTAAATAGTAAACTCAAATATACCTTGAACAGATAAAGTGCTAATAATAATAATAATACGTACCAACCAATAAGTAATAAGTCGAGTCTCTCATGATGTATCAATTTTCACACTACAAAGGCGTTCAATGATAGAAGACTGACTACGTGTATCAGGCCAGTCCATCGTGGTGTAGGACCAGTGTAGGTGTTCACATGTCATGTGCTCCACAGGCTGGACTGTACGAGAGATGGAACGACGACCAGTTGCGTCAAGCTCAGATGGAGAGTCGCAGGAGGTACAAGCAACAGGAGACAGAAAAAGAGACAGAGTCCGACAGCAGCCTGAGGCCTCTAATCATCACACACCTGCAGGGACCCTTCATGCTGCTCCTCCTAGGCCTCGGCTTGGCTGAAGTCTCCTTCTTGGTGGAGTTGTTCATGATGTGGCTTTCAAAGCGTAGCAGGAAAACTGATCATTAACAGAGAAATATTTATGATCTTGATTAATAGTTTTTTTTATTGTAATGGAAACACATTGAGAGATATTTGGTAATTAATTAATAATTGTCCTGTTTCTACTATCGTTATGTCTCGTTGGCATTTCTGGAAACTTGATACATCTAACTTACAAATATTCCAGGTTTACATTATATATATACGTCTCTCATGCTGTTATATCTTATAGGAGTATATCATAGCAACTCAGTGAACCCACCTGATATAAAATATATAATTACACCAAAGTTTTCTTTCTTTTTCCTTATCATTATTATACAAAACAAAACATTTACCACCCGCACCGAATATTACGTCTTTTATCAGGAAAATGGCGATAACTGTGTGTGTGTGTGTGTGTGTGTGTGTGTAATATAATACAAGCTGAGTAAGTGCTTGGTTCAACAGGTGCAATATCCGGTCCGAGGACAAATTCTACAAGAGAGAGACCATCTCCCGGCAGCTTTCACTGTTACTGTCAGTAGATAAAAACTTTTTTTAATGCAAAATGAACAAAACACTTTCGATGGCAGCCACCGTGGAGAGTCTTGTCCTCAGAAACTACAAATAATGTTGGCCTGCCTGGGGATTTCCATAGATCCACACCTCAAAAAGTTGTGTAGCTGCAGTATGACTCAAGTTAAAGTGATGTGAAGTAGTGTTTTACAGGTTAAAAATTACGTACAGTAGTGTAGATTGCTTTGCTACAGTTTAGAGATAAGTAAGAGGCGTGATGGACTCCAGGTTGTGTACAAGTCAACTTCCTATTCACTGATTTCGTCAACAAAGAATTAGGAATGACGTCCGTGTTTAAACTATTAAGATCATTAATGATTAGGGATGCACCGGTTAATCGATATCGGTAACAGCAAACATATATTATCGGTTTTTGCCGATTAATTTACCGGTAAGCTAAGTACCGGCTGATAAGGATATCTTTTTGTTGTCTGTGTTACGAGTTGGGGATTTAGAATATAGTTATACGTCTACCCAGATCCCAACAGGTAACAACAATAAAAAAACACAAAGACAATCGGACTATAAAAGGGTAGACAAAGGATGCGAGTTTTCGTTGTATATAATAGAGTACCATAAATCCCTTAACAAAATATTCAGCTTATAAATTACCCTTAACCAAACTTAACCTAAACATTAACAGTATATACATATTAATAAACATAAAACAATCTCGAAGCAAGTGGACGTGGGGAAATTAATACAAGATATTAGTACTTAAGTGAGGAGCTGAGATGGCTGACGAGTAAGGCTGAGTATTGTAGAAGACGGTAGGTAGTCACTGCACGTAGGTTTAGAGGATAGATGATCCTGTGGTCACTTCCCAGAGCCAAGTGCTCTCTCCTCGAATTGGAGCTGACAAAGAAGACTTTTGAGGAGGTGACGCAACAACCAGGATAGGAGAAGGGAAACCGGAGGTGGTAACTAAGACGAGTCATACTCGTGTCTCGTCCTAGATGGCGTTGCTCGTGGTGCTGGGTAGGTAGATCAGGACAATAGATGGCGTGTTTCGTAGTGCTGGGGAGGGGTTCGTAACATCTGTTTTAGGATAATAAAAATAAGAATCTCACTACAACCAGACCACTACTACAGCCAACTCACTATCACCACCAGCCCACTACCATCACCAGCCTACTACTACCATTATCACCAGTCCACTACCACCAGTCCACTACCACCAGCCCACCACCACCAGACCACTACTACTATCACCACTTTCTCGAGGGTAAAATGAGCTGAAAACCTTCAATTAAACAATTTTTGACTGAATATACTTCCTGAAATTCATAAAATCTAGTTACCAACATTTGTTCCGTTCATGGGCCGTTTGCTAATCTACCTTGGAACACTTAAATGCAACTTTGTGGTGGATAAGGATAAGAATATAGGGTAAAAAATCCATCTAAATCTAAATCGATGTTTGGGGAATGTGACAAGGCATATATTTATCTAAACACATTAATGAGTTTAAAACCTTAATTTAAGCTATTTGAATGACCTTTGACGCTTATAATGAAATCAATTTATTGAGGTCACAACCAAGGTAACCGTGTACTGCGTTTATTAGTTTGATATTGGAAAAAAAACGGACGAAAAAATTAACAAAAAGAAATTACTAAATATACGAATCTTGTGGGGGATTTTAATATTATTGTGTGATACTTGTGGTACCGTGCGTGTGCTAACTTGCCTCTAATATGACATAGATATAACTGAATAGTAGGTCAAAATATTTGTTGTGGGGGAGATTTGACCTGTCACCTCATTAAATCATTAAATAGGTTATCTCCAGATTATAATGTCATCCAGGTCACTATATTCCCTCTACCTCCAGGTTACTGTACCCCTTCCACCTACAGGTCACTGTACCCCTTCCACCTCCAGTCACTGTACCCCTCCACCTCCAGGTCACTGTGACCCTCCACCTCCAGATCACGGCGCCCCTCCACCTCCAGATCACTGTGCCCCTCCACCTCCAGGTCACTGTGCCCCTCCACCTCCATGTCACTGTACCCCTCCATCTCCATGTTACTGTACCCCGCCTCCACCTCCAGGTCACTGTTCCCCTTCCACTTCCAGGTCACTGTACCTCCACCTCCAGGTCACTGTACCCCCTCTACCTCCAGGTCACTGTACCCTCCACCCCTAGGTCACTGTACCTTCCACCTCCAGGTCACTGTACCCGTCCACCTCCAGGTCACTCTACTCCCCTCCACCTCCAGGTCACTGTACTCCTCCACCTCTAGGGTCACTGTACCCCTTCCACCTTCAGGTCACTGCAGGTACCCTCCACCTCCAGGTCACTGTACTCCTTCCACCTCCAGGTCACTGTACCCTTCCACTCTGGTAGGTCACTGTACCCCCTCCACCTCCAGGTTACTGTACCCTCCCTCCTCGAGGAGGTCACTGTACCCTCCACCTCCAAATCACTGCACTTCCACCTCCAAATCACTGTGCCCCCTCCACCTCCAGATCACTGTGCCCCCTCTCCACCTCCACAGGCTCCACTGCACCCTTTCCACCTCCAGGTCACTGCACCTCCACCTCCAGATCACTGTGCCTCCACCTCCAGGTCACTGTACCTCCACCTCCAGGTCACTGTACCCTCCACCTCCAGATCACTGCAGCCTCCGCCTCCAGGCTACTGCACCTCCACCTCCAGGTTACTGTACCTCCACCTCCAGATCACTGCACCTCCACCTCCAGATCACTGTACCCCTCCACCTGCAGATCACTGTGCCCCTCCACCTCCAGATCACTGTGCCCTCCACTCCCAAAATCACTGTGCCTTCCACCTCTCCAGATCACTGTGCCTCTCCACCTCCAGGTCACTGTACCCCTCCACCTCCAGATTACTGTACCCCTCCACCTCCAGATCACTGTACCCCTCTACCTCCAGATCACTGTGCCCCTCCACCTCCAGATCACTATGCCCCTCCACCTCCAGGTTACTGTACCCCTCCACCTGCCACCATCCGCCCCACTTCCAGGTTACTGTACCCATCCACCCAGGTCACTGTTCCCTCCACCTCCAGGTTATTGTACCCCTTCGCCCAGGTCACTGCAGGTACCCCTCCACCTCCATAGATTACTTTTATCCCCTCCACTTCCAGGTTACTGTACTTTTCCACCTCCAGGTTACTGTACCCTCCACTTCTATAGGTCACTGTACCTCCACCTCTCCAGGTCACTGTACTCTCCACCTCCAGGCAGGTCACTGCAGGCCTCCACCTGGTGCTGTCACTGTACCTCTCCACCTCCAGGTCACTGCACCTCCACTCTCCAGGTCACTGTGCCCCTCCACTCCAGGTTACTGCAGTTCTCCACCTGAAAGCATTGTACCCCCTCCACCCAGGTCACGTACCCCCCACCTCCATGTTACTGTACCCCTCCTCCACCCTCCACAGGTCACTGTGCTCCTCCACCTACACCTGTCCAAGGGCACACACACACACACACACACACACACACACACACACACACACACACCCACTATTATTACACACACACACACACATTATTATTATTATTATTATTATTTACACACACACACACACACACACACACACACACACTTTTATTATATTCATTAGTAAATTTATTTATGACTGGACTCTTCAATTTATGAGGTAAGTTTCACCTCCTTTAGATATTCCAGAGAAACAGACACTGCGTGGCGTATGACACCTCTTCATGTAATTACTCTCTTAAAGGTTATCTTAAATTGGTGCTATTTTTACAATTGACTAAATTATTACATTTAAGTTAATAAATAATCCATCTACTATTATGATTACTTTTGTAAGTAAATCCTATGACATTTAATATGTATATCTCATTTAAGATTTACATGAGGCTTGTTACAGTTAAGAAAAATTTGATATTACAACGCAGAGGTGTCCCATCAGTCAACACCTCAAAGAAGTGCTTTGTTTTTCACATGAAAAACGCAATCGATTCCGAGGGTATTGTCACAGTAATAACCAGTTCGTAGTGGGAACCCAATCACCGAGGTCATAAGTGCATATTGTTGGGGAAGTAACATATATAAGAGGGTGAAATGCGTGTGTGAGGCAGTAAGGAGCGGGTCGTGGTGGTGACACAACTCACTCAACATCTCCACAAGTGTAAGTGCTGCTCCTCGCCTTAGAGGTTGTGTATTTAGCGACGAGTGTTTTTCAGTGGTGTTTACAGTGGTTGTGAGTGTTGGTATTGAGTGAGAGTAAATGTGGTTGTTGGAGATGGTGTGTATCCCGTGGGTCAGCCCTTAGTGAAGCACCTGTCCAGGGTGCTGCACACCTGACTGATTGAGGCGTAGTGTGCCCAAATGACTGATATCTGCGCCTTGCTGCTCACTAGACAGACTGTTGTGTCGTGTGCTAAAGGAACGACTGCTGTTCCAAGTTGTACACATAAGTGATTTCTAGGTGTGCTGTCTACCAACCACCCACCACCTACTAGTCAATGTTTACCTCCCATTACCCATCACCCTTCAAACACCATATGCTGTAACATCCTTCATCTACCACCTACCACCATCTGCTACATATAACCCATCATCACCCACCACCCATCAAAGCCACGTGCAGTACCTTTTACCACCCATACCCATAACTGTATCTCACCACCCCACTACCGACAACCAGTAAATATCATCTACCACCACCACTTGTCATCCACCACCTACTGTTCACCTCTTGCCACTAAGCACCCAGCACCCACCTGTTATCTATCACTTGCGACTCACCACCTACAACCACCCAACAAAACCCACTCAGTACCACCCACCCAGCACCACCCATTCAATTTCACCCACCCAGCACCACCCACCCAGCACCACCCACCCAGCACCACCCATCCAGCACCGTCCACCTAGCACCACCCAACCCAAACCCACCCACCCAACACTACCCACCCAGTACCACTCCATCCAATTTCACCCACCCACCACCACCTACTTAGCACCACCCACCCAGTACCACCCATCCAGTTTCACCCACCCAGCACCACTAACCCACCCCACCCACCCAGCACCACCCACCCAGCACCACCCACCCAGCACAACCCACCCTGCACCACCCACCCAGCACCACCCACCCAACACCATCTACCCAATATCACCCACCAATACCACCCACCCACTATCACCCACCTAGTACCGCCCACCAACATCACCCACCCAACATCACCCACCCAATACCACCCACCCAGTACTCTAATTCAATACCACCCACCCAGTACCACCCATACAATACCACCCACAATACCACCCACACAATGCCACCCAATCAATACCACCCACCAATACCACCCACCAATACCACCCACCAATCCCACCCACCCAGTACCACTCTAATCAACACCACCCACCTAGTACCACCCACCTAATACCACCCATACCAATACCACCCAACACCAATCCACCTACCCAACACTTTACCGAGCACCACCCACTTAATATCAGCCACCCAATGCCACCCACCCAACACCACCCACCCAGCACCACCCACTCAACACCACCTACCAAATTCCACCATCCAGCACTCACCCAGCACCACACAACTACCACCACACAACCAGCACCACACAGCCAGCACCCACCCACCCAC